ATAAGAATTTAGTAAATGATTGTCAAAGAACTGAGAGAATAGATGACATATTACAAAAGTTTACCGGAGTAAAGTATTTAACATCACTAGATCTAACCAGTGGATTTTTACAATTACCTTTACATAAAGATTCACGCAAGTATGTAGCTTTCACCTTTAATGGAAAAAATTGGCAGTTCTGTAGATTACCATTTGGTCTTTGTGTAAGTACAGCACATTTTATCAAAGCAGTAGGCCCTGAATTTGATGAGATTGTAACCACATATGTGGATGACATATTAATTACTTATAATAGTTTTGGTGACCATGTAGAACATATTGAAAAAGTGTTAACTAAATTAAGATAATGGGGGGTAACAGTTAAACTAAGTAAGTCTCAGTTTTTAAGACAGGAAGTGAATTTTTTGGGATACAAAATCAGTAGGGATGGAATTTCTCCAGATCCAGATAAAATTCAAAAGCTACTTGATTTTAAAGAACCATCAAACCTGAAACAATTACAATCATTCCTAGGGCTATGTAATTTTTATAGAAAATTTAAAGCAAACTATGCAAAATTAACGTCGGGTTTCAGTCATATGTTAAGTAACAAATCAAAATGGCATTGGACAGAACAAGAAACACAGCTTTTTAACAAGATAAAGTCAGAATTTTTGAAGTGTGTAATGCTTAAACATCCTCAATTTTCAAAACCATTCTATATAAGTACCAATGCTAGCTTGACGATGAAGGTTATGAACAGGTTATAAGTTTTACCAGTAGACAGTTGTCAAATAATGCTGAGAAGAGTTATTCATAGACGATTATCTGGCCTGTGATATTAGTTCCCTATGTTTTTAGAACATCAATGTTAATATTAATATATTTAAATATTTAATTGTTATTATATTTAAAGATTTTATTGTTATTATATTTACAGATTTTATTTTTGATCATTGACATGTAAATTGTTAAGTTATTTATTTTAGAGTTAATTATGTTTAACTGTTATTTTTTAAAGAGTGATTGCTACTCACTTGGTGCATTCTTGCTGTTAGGCCTACTCTAACAGGAAATTAACTGTATGTATTATTAGAAAAAAAAAGAAAAAAACTTTGACGATGTCTATTGTAATACTTGTATTGCTTAATGACAAATAAAGATCTTGAATCTTGAATCTTGAATCAGTTTGTGAGAAGGGGTTGTTGGCTATAATATTTGCCTGTACTAAATTTAGAACATATTTATTGGGGCATCATAAGGTAATAGTGCGGAGTGACCATAAGGCCTTGTCATTTCTAAAGTCATGTAAACTATCTCATGGCAGGTTATTAAGGTGGAGTTTAGTATTGCAAGAGTTCTGTATAGAAATAGAATATGTACCTGGTAAACTAAATGTTGCGTCGGATGTTCTTTCCAGGACTAGTCCTGATCAGCCAGCATAACACTGTAGGTAATGATATTAATACCATTAAATCATACATAAACAACGTCTCATTTGGGTTTAAAGATGATGAGCTAAGAAAGTTATTTAAGGATAATTCAGAAAGGCAGAAAAATGACCACCAGATAGGACTTGTCATTGATAACTTGGAGAATAATGGCGCACTCAGTTAGAAATTCGGGGAAATATTTCAAATATACCATGACATATTGTTTAAGAGGAAAAGTATCGATGATGACAAATGGTGTGTTTGTATTCCAGAAGTAATGATTGAACAGCTAATTAAGTTCACACATTTAAAATTTGGACATCTGGGGGGGTACAAAATTTATTTAATCTTAAGAGAATATTGTGTTTTTCCACGCATGGAAAAAGTAGTCAAGCAGTCATTGGGTAAATTTTTGCTCTGCCAAAAGGCCAAACATGGAAATAAGGAACAGCGGCTAGGTTTGTTACAGCCAATATTGCCAAAACAATTAAATGATTTAGTTTGTGTAGATATCATTGGGGAGTTGCCAACAAGTGTAGGAGGTACTAAATATATTTTTTCAGTGGTTGAAATGTACTCAAAATTTGTGAAATTATATGCCATAAAGAAAGCCAATACAAAAACTTTGGTAGGTAAAATTGGTGATGACTATCTACCATTAGAAGGTGATGTAAAATGTATATTAAGTGACAGGGGAACACAGTTTACTGCTAATGACTGGTACAACACACTAAACACTAAAGGTATTAAAACAATACACAGTTCAGTATATATCATCCAAAATCTAACCCCTGTGAGAGGGTAAATAAAGAAGTTAATAAAATTTGTAGGATTTTATGTCATGAAAAACACACTAAGTGGGCATTATGTTTAAATTTCATTTAGAATTGTCTAAACCACTCAGTACACGATTCCACAGTCACATTCCATATGAAATTATGTTTGCTAGGCCTAGTGACTGCTTTTAAAATCATTTAATCACATTTCCACCTGAAAGAGAGTTTAATTATGATCAGAAAGTAATGTCAGTTTATCAGAGGTTGGTCAGTAAAGCAGAAAGTAGGAAAAGTAAGTGTGATAAAGGGTTGAAAGGAATAAAGTATAATATTGGGGACAAAGTATTAGTAAAAACACATTATCTACGCACGCTCATCAACCTAGACTCGGAGGGCGACCTATCTACACTACAGGCTGTGAACATCTCATCTCACCTCTAACCCTAAGCTAAGTGTTTATACTTAAACTTAGTGGTTATGGCTACATAAAGATTCTATAGCCTAAAGTAAATTTAGTTTGTTACAATGTAAATAAACTTAACTTCACTCTTTACAACCAAATTCTATGGATTGATTTTCTTTAGTCTACTTAACTTATTCTGAAATGTAATAATTTAAAACATCTGGTTTAGTCTTAGGCCTAATTAATAAAACAATCTTTTATGTTCTGAGAATTCTTCTTTATTTATTAAAATGAAATAAGCCCCACCGAACCACACGATTAACCTGAGATAAGAGGAAGGCTCTACTATCCTAAACTTAAAGCAAGGGCGGTCCTAGACATATATTTTGGGGGGGGGTCACCGGGGGGCTGGGGGGTATGGAGTACCCCCCAGCAAAGGAGGGGGGTCCGGGGGTCCCCCCAGGGAAAAGTGTGGAAATAACGTGCTAAATGAGTGGTTTTTAAGCTCTTTTGAGGACCTAGTTTAATGTCTTCAAGCTTTTCAGTTTATTTAAAGGTCAAAGAAATTTCTAAAAATAAACTTGTATAATGTCATGTTTTTGCATTATTGAGACTTGTGGTTTTAATATCAAAGGAATACCACAACATTACAACACATTCAAGCATTATTGATTTACGAAAACACCCTTTCAACTGGTGCCAATGTGCATGCTAAACAGAAAATGTCCAAAATCAGACAAAGTTTTCGAACCAGAGAACTTATTTTATCTAAGAAGTGTTTAAGAACTTGCACCCAACACGACTGCATCATACCTGCCCAGTAAGCAACAGTTAACCTACACAAAGAACACTACCGGTACCCAACTAACGTTGCCGTCGGCGTCCCGTCACTGCTACCGCCTGAAGAATTGGTTCTCATTGCTCTCATTTTTTTCTACGCCAGAGCCAGTGGCATTTTACAAGGGGTCAATGTGAGAATAAAGTTTTTGTGGTTGTGTGGGGAATTAAATCCGTCCCTTCCGCATCTAAGTCTAAGATACTTTTACTATTACTAAGATAGTTTTTTTATACCATTTTGTTGTTGTTTTGTGGCTAGCAACATGCCAATTGGGTTGTGGTATTCTTAATTATATCAGGTGCTCTAAATATGAATTACTATTTAATATTGAAAGTTTTGAAATTTGCTACGGTAATCATTGAATTACATTACTGTAATTATAAATTCCTAACGCTGAACTCAGATAAATTAATATTCAACTACCTTTCAAGCTTTGACTATTGATACAACTTCTTTTCTTTATCCAATACCCAATTCAAGTTTTCAATCATCTAGGTTAAAATGAATGATAACATTAAATGCCGAAAAATTAAATAAGAAGAATGCGGCCGAACGTCGAACGTCAGCATGGGACACTGCCGTTGCTGTAATAGACTGAAAGCGTCCATCGTCTGCCGATCTTCCCGACTTTTCATAACGTACAAAAAATAGTCAGACTCGAACGATCCCGAGTTTTAGGTTAGAGTTTGTAATTAGTCCTTTCGTTTGCCACAAGTGTAAAGACTACAATGAATTTCAAATTGGTAGCTCGCTTTGCAATAAAAATATGGTATAATATAATAGGTAGGCTATAATAGTTTATGTATATAAAAAATATTTTGGAGGGGGGTCATGACCCCCCTGACCCCCCCCCTGGGACCGCCCTTGATCCCAGTTAAAAAACTGTAGACTACCCGGCTGCACTTTACTTTACGTCCTACACTCATTGAAATGAAAATATCGATCGATATATCGATTATTCGATAAGTTATATCGTTTGGTTAGTTAGGTAAGGTTCCTAACCTAACTAACCAAACGATATATCGAATGAAACAATCGAATAACCGATATTTTCATTCGAATGAGTGTAGGACGTAAAGTAAAGTGCAGCCGACTACCCCATTTAGGCTACACAAAATATCAACAAAAAAACCTTCAGTAATTTCAATGTAAAAAAGTAGGTCTAGGCCCATACAGTAAAAGAAACTAATAAGTTGACCTATAGCAATAAATTTAACTTTAGGCCTATATGGAGTCTCATAAAAAAGTACTGCCAACAATTGAAGTTCAAATTACAGTAGTAAAAATCTTACTAATAAAATGGTTAAATACCTGTAGTACTTGTCACTTGTCAGTGGATCCTGAAATTTAGGTCAGCCAAAAAATCATTGCAAAATCGATTGGTTTTTAATGTAGGCCCTATGTCTTTTCCTTTTGTCCATTCTGTATGTACAAATAAACATATTATTTCATTCATTCATTTTGCTGACCTAAATTCCAGGATCACTGACAAGTACTACAGGTATTTAACTTTATTTAGTAAATTACATGATCCAGAGGCTAAACATGTTAAAAATCTTAGTTGAACTTACTCGTTCAGTGATTGTAGATTTGTTGAAAAAGATTTAACAGTCTTGTTCAGGATGATTTCTTTCAAGAAGTTTCTTTTTGAGAGGAAGGGATTGTGCACGGCATCAGACAAGTCTCTTCCTCCAGATAGTTTTGTCAAATGTTGAATAAAGGTCTTGCAGGAACGAATTTTCAGCATTTTAAGCTTATAAAACCTAACCTAACTTGCTTGACCCTCTCATGAGCTGACGACAAGACAAGACAATCCAATCCAAAGTTCACGGTTCACGACATCGACACAGACACAGACACAATAAAAATGAATGAATGACACAGTGTTGCCAGATTTGCCGGCGAAAATTATCGTACAAGCAGGCCAAAATTATCGTTTTTGGGGCAAAATTATCGTACACACAATTTTCATTTATAATAATATTATTATAATGTAAAACAAGCAAGTCGATGATGGAATGGCCGAAATTTTACTCTATTTGTCTCTGCCACCCACCGTTTTTGCTCTACTATGTCTACCACTGAGCTAGAAAAATGAAAAATATAAATTCTACCGGAGGCAGCACACTTATCACACACACACGTCACACGGAATCTGCATCTCTGCTAGAAAAAAATTGAAACGCTGTAAAATGATGGTATTTTCGTTCCGTTCTCAACTGGAAAAATCAACCAGCTCATTGCATTATTTCATTCCCCTACTGCCAATGTACTGACTGAGTTCAATAATTAATTGAAGGTACAACGTAATCTACCCCTAGTACAAATGGCGGCCAACTTCTCTCAAAATTCTCCTATAAACACTTAAGTTGGTAGCCAATGTGCCCTCTCTAACACAGCTGATGGCTTTGCAAGGTTGCCAGATCGAACAGCAACGAAGTGATGTTACTGTTTTTCCATATATTAAAAGTGGGAAACGTGTTTAAATGTATAATAATCAATATGAAATAGTTAATTTTCCAGCCCCCAAAAAATAATCGTACATTATGACAAAAAATCGTACACAACGTCAAAATTATCGTACAATTTTTCAAAATTATTTTTTATGGGGAAGGAGCAAAATAATCGTACAAATACGATAATTATCGTACACCTGGCAACACTGGAATGACATAACCTTAACCTATCAAATCATTCAAATAAATCGAGAATCGAGATTGGTTGGGCATTGACGACGTTTGACGTTTCGACGTTTCGCAAAAGCTTCTTCTTCATTTTCTATTCTAGTTTGCTTAAAAAAGCTGGCTTGCTTAACTTACCATGAAACCACATTATTTCACCTTATATCACGACTGTTCTATACATATTTCCCGCGCTTTCTTGAAAATGCTAGTTTTTAAATTATATTTTTGTAATAATCTGAAGCTCTTACAGCAGTACAGCACAGTCACATTATCACAATACCTTTTTGTCTGAAAACAGCCGTGCCGTGCCAATTAGCCAATATTGCCATCATCGATCTCTTTCTACAACATAGATATTGATACTGCCACTGCTTATATAAGAAAAGTATTACTAGCAGTACAAATGAATTGCAAAATCGATTGGTTTTTAATGTATGTCTTTTCCTTTTGTCCATTCTGTATGTACAAATATACATATTATTTCATTAATTAATTTTATATCAAGTTAAATGATAAAACACTACGACCTTGGCCACTTATATGATAACATACAGAAAGGGGCGACTTATACCTTAAAATTCCAAAAGCAACCAACCATTCATTTTGTTGTTTTACGGCTCTTAGCATAGACAAAAATCTTTTTGTTTATGCTCTTAGCCATGTGGTAGGAGTAACGTCTACGAGAGCCCATTTCAAGACAAATCCCACATTGAAAATCATGATTTCACACTCCCAAAACATCACATGTGGGAGTTAAATAATAATTTTCAAATCTGGCTATTGACACTTAAAAGACCTCAAAGTCGCGTTAGCGTTACCAGTTACAATACATTGTATAATTTTATAAATAACTTCTTGATCAGCATTGTACGTGTTATTAAATTTACGGAAAGTAAATAAAAGAAACGTCTTATAACACTTAAAACATATATTTACGCTTATAATGTTACTCACAAGACGGTAAATATACAAAAACGATGGTAAGTGGTGATCGATTTCGATTGGACACTCCAATCATCATCAGACCCAATAGGTCATTGGGTCATTCGCCTATTGGGTCTGATGATGATTGGAGTGTCCAATCGAAATCGATCACCACTTACCATCGTTTTTGTATATTTACCGTCTTGTGAGTAACATTATAAGCGTAAATATATGTTTTAAGTGTTATAAGACGTTTCTTTTATTTACTTTCCGATAATTTTATAATTACAAATTTCCTCAAAAGCATATCAATATATGACCTCAACAAAAAAATTGTAGTTGTTTATAACTAATAAATTTAATATATTACAGGAATTATAAATCTGTTTACACAACGCAAATTTTAGTTCCAATACTACTTTTGTAAGTAAGTTAATAAAGTAACGGTTTGCAGACGTGATTGCCCTATGCTGGGACACATTTCTTGTTACAGTATCTAAATATCACTTTAGTATGGAAATTTGTTATGGAAATAACAAATAACCCTATTGATTTGATCGGTATCAGGGTGTCAGCACTAGAAGGATGCTGGTGGGTGGGGGGTCTTGTCAGGTCGATTTCAGGTGAGAAATGCAACACAGCACTTATGGAAATGGATCGCGTAACATCGGTAATGTTCGGGTCGCCGAGATGAGCTGTCGGCTGCATTCGACAATCGTCGGCCCAGCATCCGACCGGATCAATGATGGCGGCGTCTACAAGACGGAGCGGACGGCACAGATCTCCGTCCTCATCCCCTGTAAGTCTAATGATAATAGATTTCACTGATAACGTGATTGCTTTATTATTATTACACGAAGTAAACTAAATGTAAAAATATAGGTGTGATGCTCTCTTTCTGTTTAAAAACATTTTCCAAATTGGACCCGTGCAGGTAGTAAAATAATTTGAGAGGATACAACATATTTATTTCCAATATTAGATATTTAAAGTATATATTTTAAAATATATAAAATGAAAAATATCCCTTTCATTACAACACGAAATCTATTTGTGAGGAAGCTATTCAGCAATGTTTACCAGATTTTGATATTTCTGTTGTCACTGCTAAGACACGAAAAACAATATTGGAGGATCATGTAATAATAATTATAGTACTTAATCATAATAAAAATTTTGTAAAAATGCTAAAAATGAAATGAAATGAAAACGTAAATGAAACAAAAATCATAAAAATCTGAAAATTTAAATAATTATTTTAAATTAGTTTGTTTGAATAAGTAATCACGCAAAATAAAAGAAAGTTATATATGCGTAAATACTGTATGTAAATTTGCTACAAAAATACAAATTTATTTTATTGTCGATAGCTCTGATGACTTTTGGGACTCGTTTTTTTCTAGAAACACACCCAACCTACAGGCCCGGCTGAGATGGAGGCCCTAGACTCGCTGACAGACGCATATAACGACCAATCTCTACCTGTTCCCATACAAGTCTTCCTTTGGCACCAGATAAGGTAACAATCAAATATCTAATATTTAAAATATCTAAAATTTCAAAATTAAACCCAAACTATAGCACTATAGTAATAACATTGGCACCGTGGGAAGAGAATTGGTCTAGTGGTAGAATGGCGGTAGAGCGCAGGACTGTGGTCCCTGAGGTCCTGGGTTCAAATCCGGCAATAAACAATGGATTTGATCCAAGTCACAATTCCACAACCTCTGGTATTATAATCATGATGTAGCCCTTTGAACTGTTTAATTAGACAGATATAAAGTACATACCTTTGATAAAGGTAGATAAAAGGTATGTACCTTATCTGTCTCTAGAGCTGGTCTGAAATAATGTGAAAAAATACCGGGCTAAATCCTAGCAAAAGTGTAAGGAATTCTAAGTGGTGACTGTTGAGAGTTGAGAGTTTACAGTTTATTTTCTTTTGCCCGAAACTGAATGTTAAGAATGGGTGTAATTTTATTTATTGGGTGGTTAAAAATGTTTTTCATAATATGTACATTGAAAATGTTAAATGTGCTGATCTTTTACAGTCCTTTCATCCGTCCTAAATTGGGAAAACTTCACGAAGCTTCTTGTCAGGTAAATAGACAGTGTTAATAAATTATTTAATACTTTACTGTAATACTTTATTCAGTGGTATTAAGTGGTGACTGTAGTGGTAGGTGAAGGTTTTTAAACCAAGTATGAATGGAGATGAGTGTAGGATGAGTGGCGTGATCTTGCAGTCTTTGTCTTGTTAGTGACTAAGGCCTTAGACACAGCTGTTAATTAAACCATACATTAAGCATACTCCCTTAGGAGCATACTCTAAGGCAGTAAATCGTGCCCTAAGGGAGGATGCTTAATGTATGATCAAACCCATACAATAAAACTAATGGTGGCAACTAAGGGACCTACAGTTTATAGTGGAATCCGAACCACATTTTTGCCTTGCAATTAACGAATTGATCTAATTATCAGAATAGTACTGCGGATAGTCGTAGTACTCACTAGTGCAGACGTTAATCCACACCAGGGATTATCGTATCCACAGTGCATGCCTATAAATTCCACAATTCGGGATGAATTACAGGGGACGCCGTTTGTACCAGGTGCACCACAAAATCACCATTAGGTACAAAGTTAAAAGAATCTGAACTGAACTTGAACTTACTTACAGTATGACCATTTATTAGGCCACAACTCAAATTACATGTTTTGCGTTTAATAAATAATCATTGGTTTATATTAGTGCGGATGATAGAGCAAGGAAATTTGTTTAATCTCATAATGTATGAACTAATATATTTAGAAGACAGCTGTGTAAGATTTATATGAAACAACATGTAAACGGTGTTTAACCTGTAATATTTTATCGACAATTCTTTTAAATTTTCAGTTACTCATTTTAAATCCCCTGTAATCGAACGCACAATAATGACTCAGCCTTTTTTCTTCCTGATAAGGAAGGATTGTCATGATTCCAGCAAGCAATCTAGTGTTATATGGAGCTTTGTCAATCTTGGAAACCTAACTATCATCATCATCCTGCTTCTGCTCACTATCGGGTTCATCAACTTTAGAACTTCTTTTAGGAAAAATCGCAAGAAGGATGAACCAACAAATGAAGACGGAGACATAACTGACTAGTGCAGTGTCCACATGTTCATCAAATAAGATTTTTCTAAAATAGATTCTCAGTATTGTCTGTCGTGTTTTAAATTGATACTAAACCCTTTACATAATGGTGACCATAGGAATGTAGGTATTTTAAGCCAAGTATGAATGGATATGCGTTTAGGATGAATGGCACGATCGTCAAGTTAGATTTAATCAATCAATCTAAAAAAAGATTTAGGGTTTAGATTTTGTTATGCATTCAGATTTAAGATTTCTTACAGTTTCTGTGAGTCAAGGTAACTTATGCATTAAAAAAGTAGGTTCCGGTTTCAATAACTGGCATACTTAAAAAGATGACCATGCATTGCTGCTCAAATTTTGTTTTAAATGTACTGTACGATGAATGAAATGTGTATGAGTAATGAAATTTAATTAAAGCTATATCCAGCTAGTTATAAGGGGCGAATACAAAAAAACTGAGTGCCGGTACTCCTCCGTGTGAAATGCAGTGAAATTAAACAAGAATATGTTATGTTTTGCTGCTTTAATAAAAGTCCGTACTTGTTGCAGTTTTGCCAACATGCTCCTGGACATCACGTAAGTTGTTTTCCCATTCTTGTTTCTTTCATGCTTGGTTATGAAGAACATCAATATGTAACACAAAAGATTTGTTGGTTTTATGAAATGAAAATTAAACACATGGAAAAGAATTGAGAAACCATGAGTAGCATCTTTGTGCTTCAATTTTCATTATTATCGCTAACAATATCAAATTAAGATGGGGACGCCACCCGTCAGATGCATATTTTAACCCAAATATGAGATTTCCATCTTGTATTGTAGTATTTGAGTGGACAAGTGCAACACTATTGACAAAATATGGTTATGTTTCACAATATTAAGTTCAATAAAACTATTATGCTTCTCTATCGAAGGGTTTGACCATTTTTACCAAGATCTTAGTATCTTGACAATTGTGTAATACGCGAGTTGCGTACACTATTTTACCTACGACAGCGTTTTAATTACTAAAAATCACTACTCATAGCTTTTAAGAGACGTTACGTTTTCGCTTATAACCTCTTATTGCCACTGACAAAAATGCAACGAAACATTGTACCAAACACCGAATGCACCACTCAACAATTAAATTTGCCTGAACAGCTGATTAGTTGAAGTTCGAATCATTACAATTTTACTTCTTCTCTCTCAATCCTTTAACGTTTAACCTGCTTGGCCCGTTACACATGTGTTGTTACGAACAGTAAAACTATGCTGTTAGCTGTTATGAAAGTAAACAATGATGTTATGAGAAACTTTTCAATTTTAAGAACTGAACTGAAACGGCTACTTTAAAAAACGGTCGTAGGTAATAGCTATTTACCTTAGAAGTGTAGTAAGAGCGTTTTTACATCACGCAGGTGAATGTTGTGCAACGAGTGGAAGCGAGTTGCATAATTTACCTAAGTGATGTAAACACGCTCTTGCGTAACGTGTAACGTACAGGATTTTACCTGACCCGACAATATACAGGAGGTTACGAACAATATTTTTCATTATCCATTTCACTCATCTTCTAACAGTAACGTTCATTTACAAACAAAAGCTAGGTTAGGAAAATTCTTCAAAACATAACAATAAAATTCAAGCGCACAGCTGATTTCTAGCGTTGATCGTCGTTGGCTCCATAGAGGTATATTTTTTAAGTTAAGCACTCAATGTTATTTAAATGGGTTTCTTTACATCACCGAGTGAGTTTTTGATACTTTACATCACTTGAGAAGTAAGGAAGTTGTATACATCACGCTTGTGATAGGGAAGTTTAACATGGCGGGTTAGGTAAACAATATTTTAACTATGATTGCGTTTACCACATCATTTATCCATGTTGCTTATCACACAGTAGCCTACTTGGTTTTGAAAATAAGTCATGATTCTTTTATAACCAGCTTTGAAATCTTCCATTTCTTCGTGCATTATGAAAATCTTAGTTTAGTGATTATTCGCTTTTTTGTTGTAACTCGAAAGAATGATTAAATGCATTTTGTTCATTAACAGGAGCTGAAAGAAGCGTGCAAGGTAAGTTTAACAAAAAACTGAACTTTTTTAATAATTTTAACCGTAAGTTTAACACATCTTTGACATCCATTGTACACATTTTAAACGTATAGGTAGTGTTAAATATGGTGAAATACAACATATCCAATAATGTGTATGGTCCCTTTCTAAAATGAAAGTTTTCTGTACCTTAAACGCTTATTTACAATCTAATGTGCAAAATTATTTTACCTCTAATGTGCAAAACCGAGGCGTGTGTGATTACTCACGGATATTATCTTTTAAATTTTTGTACTCCATGACATTAAAAAAAATGTTTTGATAAAAAGATGCAGCTACACGTAAAAGCTATTTATTTTATTGAACCTTGGTGACTTATCAATTGTATTGAGAAGTTAACCCAAGACCGTCTATGAGGGTGACCAGGAAAAATACACTAATTTAAAAGAAATATATTCTACAGGCTACTACTACGATTGAGCTACAGAACAAAACAATGCATCAAGTCTTCAGCCACAAACATTTGGATTGTTTGAAAGAAATTCGAAGATTGTAGGATCTAAGTATTTGATCTCAAATAAGGATCCGGCTATAGGCATTCGAGCTCCATGTTGACCAAGTTAAATGAAATTAACTGTTGCTTAATTGAGCCTCTGGAAGAAGGGTGGCTAGCAACAACTATTTTATAATTTTAATATTTTTTTTCTCGTGGAACACACTTTTTAACGAATGAAAACTGTAGGAGTCAATGGTTGTTTACGAAAATATATATGTATATAACAGACTGGTTAAACTTACTGGCTTTGGTCAGTGATTTTATTGAACCAAAAAGGTTATTAGGGGGACAACAGTATATTTAAACATATAAACACAATATTTTGCTAAATAATGTTTTGTAACTGGTTCTAGTCCTTCGAAAAAGTTCTTGTTCAGAACATCCAGTTCGGATTACCACCGAATCTCGCAGATGCCATCAAGTCGGTTCCAAGATGGCGGCTGGTACAGGCGGCTTTTCCCCATGTGATGCACTGCGCAGCGTCACTCTTGCATAACAGGTAGATACTGTAATTTAGGGGTATACCAATAGCGGGTATCATTTAGGGATTAGCATCGATAGGTCAACCATCGATGTACCGATAAAATAGTCGCGAAAACATCGATGACATCCTATAAATAATTAAAATAATCCGTTTTATCTCCGGGGTTATTTATCGTAGAAAGCACAGACATAGATAAAACAAACATTAGTAGATTTATCCTTATTTAACAGCTGAATGAATTTTTTCGTTAGTTCTGTCTGGTGCACTAAAGAGGTCGTGTTTTTGTTTACAATTTGTTTCTTGTTTTTTCAGGCATTTAAAACCCCGTTTAACCAAATAAAACGATATAATCATAAACAATAACTCATCCTCTAGTTATAAAACCAAACAGTAAAGCATAAATCGTGAAATTAACTCTAAAATAATAGAAACAAAATTTCGTCGACACTAGCGATCAGTGTCACCGGACATGAACACAAAAAACGAGCTTCAAAATTTACAATGGGTAAAGCCTACTACCATCTACTACTTGTTGGTTTGGTAAGTCTATGGCACAGATTGAGTTTAATTCTTTGTTTGAGACTAATTGGCACTCAGATAAAAAAATATTAGTTTGTTTCGATTAATTAAATTATTCACATGTTTCAGCTGAGCGAATAACGTAAACAAACATTTCAAGTTTAAATTACTTGCTTAATAATTCTAGTTTGTACAGAAAAAAGTTGAAAATAGGTGGTTTTATTCTTTCCCAGCATAGGGGGTTTAAAAAAACCTTTAGAATGATACATCATTTATTAAAATTGGTGAAGAATTAAGGAATATTATTGTGTACCGAGGGTGTATAGTTCGAGTTCAAATGATAGTTTTAACTTGATTGATTAGCACATACTTATACACAGACCGAAGCCATCAGATTTTAATTCAAGGAGGTTAACCTACGATACGATCGGGTTCAATCGATAAATGGACGAGGACGGAACGAAGTACGAACTCGAAGGAGTTTGGAGTTAGATTTAGGATCAGTTAATTAGAAGCCAATCATCGGTCTCAAGAGACTCGACTCTCGGCTTTTCAAACAATAATTTTGGAGAGCGTAATTCGCGTCCCTTACCTGGGAAGCAATAATTGCGATAGATAGGCAAGTCATATACTAGCTACTCAAAAATCACTGCGAGTGTCAACGGATAAATAGGATACATAGTGAAGTACCACGGCTTAAAATTGAAATATTGTGCTATATTTTAAATTAATAAATGGTATTCTTTCTTTTAGATTATGGTTAATTTGTTTTTGTACCTTAGTAATATAAATAATTTAAATAAACCTGACGGATTTAGATTTATAAGTGTTAGTGACATCTAGCGGTGACTGGACGAACTGCTTTGGTTTTGGGTGGTGACACCTGGCGGTGAGTGGGCGAACTGTTGCGCACCTCGGTCGGTACTTTTACTGCTATAGTTCGGCCGCTTAGAAAACGACCTGCGCGCTAATGCTAAACCAATGCTGGAGGAGGTCGCTTTCTAAGGGATAGCGCTGGGTTCACAACGATATGGTAGGCATTCGGTTAAATATCGAGCTTGTTTTCTACCGGATGACAGACATCGACTTTTTAGTATTGGCTCTGGCTCACCGGCTGTCTCATGGTGGAAGTAACTAAAACTATTCAACTATTGCCTTGCCTTGGTGCCTTCTGCTGCAGCTGCTCCTAACTCCTATGTCTGTCGTCATCGTCAAACGTTTATAAGTGGCCTTGACGACGGAAGGCCATAATTTAATTCTCAATATTGCAGTGAGAGTGAATGCAAATAAATAAGTAAAACAATATATGAACATGGCATGAAATTTGCCACTGAAAATGTTTATTTTCCAATTACAGTAAGGCTGATAACCAGCATGATAAATATATAAGAAATTAAATTACGGAGGAATTTTAAAATTAATATTCCAGTAACTTACGCAATTAACGCCAGATAAATTACCGCCGCCCCCCCCTTATACTTTTAAAAGCGTTTAGATGCCCTTTGCATTTTTGCATATTTCCTCCATAATAATGCACCATGAAACTGATCAAAAGGAACAAAGTTGGAATAAATTAAATTACCTAATTAAATAAAATATTCCCCTCCTCTTTTAGGCTAGTGCTAGTATTTTTTGTGATCTCTGTCTTCTCTCTTCTGTCTGTCGGTGTTGGTTGGTTTGGCTTTTTTTAACAAAGTTTTATTTACAATCTGTTTTACACTAAACAATAAGTAAATATGATGACAATTATATAAATAAATTTAAAATTGGAAAACATGAGTTACAGCAGCTAAACTTGTTTGTTTCTCGTTTAGGTTGGTTGGTTGGCGCTATGGAAGCCAATCGATTTACGATATTCGATAGTAGTTCTTTTCTTACTACGACGATCGATACTTATAACCAGTGCTACCGCTACCATATCGTTGTGAACCTAGCGCTATCCCTTTCTAAGCGGCCGAACTATAGATGTAACCACAGAGCATAGAATAAATATGTAACCATGTAACCATTATCATAGATAAAACATACTTGTGTTGGTTAGTCTATGCCATTATGTAACAATCAAAAATCATTGAATCAATTCATCTAGTCACCGCTAGATGTAACCAATGAATACACAAACTGTAGTTGTTGCGATATATATATATATATGAATTTGAACGTATGGTGTTTTTGGCTTCTGGGGACCTCAAAACCAAAAAGTAAATCGATCCCGGGTCTTACCATGAGTATTGAGGCAATAGCTTATTCCCTATGTGGGAAATTCGCTAAATAAGGCCTCTTGTTTTACGAGAATATAAAGCCACGAAACCCTGTCCACGATTTTATAGATTAACGGTTGGCCCCCATTTTCCCATTCAAAATTGATTAAATACAGGCAATTTATTAGCGAATTTCCCTATAGGGAAGTATAGCTATTACCGTAGGTGGCATGGTAAAACCTAGGCCCGGGACCGATTTACTTTTTCATTTTGATGTCCCCAGAGGCCAAAAACACCATTCTTTCAAATTTACATATATAAAGTATATATATAAAGTATATATATATATAAAGTATATATATAAAGTATATATATATAAAGTATATATATTTATACACGTGTGTGTCCGTAAACGCGATAACTTGAGTAACTTTTGCCCGATTTTGATGAAATTTGGTCTAAAGGTGTAAGGCAGGATAAAGTTGGATGAGTTCACCATAGATAAAACATACTCCGGTTAGTCTATGAGTTCACGAACCAGCATGATCGTACCATAACCATGGGAACGGGGTTTTACGGGGGATTTTACGGTGTAAATTTAAAATTGGGTTTTCTCATTTTGACCCTCAAAACACAAAGTTTCAAAGTTTCCCAATTTCTCTCTAGACCCTTTTAAATAGCTTAAAAAACAAATAATTTAGTAGGTACATCAAAATGTTTTTTACGGTTATTGGTAACGGAGACAATTTACAAAAAATGTAAATTTTTAACACATTTAACACATCATTACACATTTTGACAACAGTTGGGGATTATTCCAAAAGTGACGAAGGTAAATCTGCTATGCATAAATAGTTGTAGTTTGTAGTACTGTTGTTGAGGTGTATTACCAAAGATTAAGCAAGGGAGTATGAGTATGCTTAATCTAATAATCTTTGGTATTATTATTCTGTCTATGGTGATGGTATTAAGTTTACCCCCGCATCCTTATCCCACATAAAAAAAACACCATGCAACAAAGTGCAACAAAGCAACAGCTTTAGTTTGTTCGTTTGTTGGTTTCGGTTTGTGTTTTTGTTTGTTATTGTTGAGAGAAGAAGAGCGTTAGTGGTTTCGGTTTGACTTTGAGTTTAAAATTAAGAATAATAACAACAACATAAATAACTTATGTGAACGTTGAAGGTTAAATCAAAATAACACAATAACTTAAAATATTTTAATTTTGATAAAAAGTAGCCTAGGTTATTCAAAATGTATTAAGATGTTGAAGCGAGATAGAGACACCAAAATACCTATGATGGGAAATTCAAAGTCTTAAGTTAACTTAATTGAAACAGGTACAGAATTATAAGTTTAAACTACCTATTACACTTGAGGAGATGATTGATAGGCCTAATTTACTACAGCTAGGGAGAAGTCTAAACATCGACCCTAGTCCTTTATTAATTACTAGTCCCTATAGGCCCTAGGCTATAGTAAGCCTGTCTGTTACTTATTATGCTATGAACTTATCATGTAGCCTAAATGTTTTAATTTTAAACTTACTCAAACCTCTAACGCTCTAACTCAATTGACATGAAATTACGTAGTAACTGGCATGAAACACTTAGCCTACCACTGCAGAACTTTTTGACTTTGACACTTTTTGACACCTAAGGCTACTGAAAAAAGGTAAATTACCGAATAATTGACAGGTGTCTAAGCTTTAGTAACAAATAATTTACTGAAAGAATAATTCTCTGAAAAACTCCAAGCCTATCTAACTACTTGCTAAACCCGGCTTTTAAGCTATTGTGAATGTGCTATATCAATAATTAAGTTATCTTGTACATAACTTAAGTTAGTTTCTCTTTACTCTGTGACTGTATTGTCAACATTACTAACTTAAGTTACATACTGAAAATCTCACAATTTGCATAACTTAATTGCAATCTTTATTATTTTAACTTCTATCCAACTTTCTCGATATATTTCCAGGAAAGACACAAACCTTCAAAACCTTGGGGCTGCCGAGACTAAACTCCTCTATATCCTGCATTGGATCATACTTGACGCGGCTGAGGAGTGTGCTGACGCGGATTATGAGAAAGGAATCTATCACACATCGCCTTTTTATTATCTCTTCTCAATACCAGCGATCACAGTAAGTTAAATAGTGTTACACTAACTTATCATGCCTTAATGCATAATTTTGTACATTTCCGCGTACACACAATGTACATTGTATTAGTCACAAAGTCACAATTGGTCCCATTATATTGGTAGAGCATTTTGTAGGATGGTGTACCAATAACTATTTCAGCCAATGAAAAAAATCTTTTGAAATTGAACTTGTTCAATTAAATACAGAATGTTCTTTTTTATTCTTAGCCTTAGTTTACATTTTGTAATTGTGATTATATTTTGTATTAAAAAGTATGTTTCTTTCTGTATACATTATGTGGAAATAAATGTATAGGGTAAGCGGGGGGAATTGGGTGGGCGGGGTAATTGGGTGGTAAAATTTTTAACAATTTTTATATTTTTTAATTATTGATATTTTAACATTTAAATGACATGTATGGACAGCCAATCTCTTCAAGAATAAGCCATAACCTTTTCAGATTTGTACCTTTAAACATTTAAAGGAGGGAAATAGTCTTAGGGACCCTTGTCATTTCGCGATTCTAAAAGTGGTACCTATGCACACTTTTTCAATCTTTCATATAAAATGCATTAAAATTTTCATACATGTGAAATTACATTATTTTTCACCATAAAATGAATAAAAATATACCAAAGAACATGCCCAATACTTATTTTCATAATAAAACTACTTCTAATTTATTTATTTTTTTTTTTAAATGTTACCACCCAATTACCCCCTTACGGGAAATCGGGTGGTAAATTTTAAAACTGAGCTAATACTGTTTCCTTGGCTTAATTTAATTAAAAAAGGCAATAATAATAATATTTTGTGAATATAATTCACACTAGAGTTTTTGTTTTGATATTTAACCACTACCACCCAATTACCCCTATACCAATACCATTAACCCTATACCACCCAACACCCGTGAGTTCACGTCACATTGGACTGAACCCAGAAGACCTAAAAAAGTCACAAAATTGTATTATAGTTACTTAAATAGGCATAAAGACTGCATTAGCGACTGAGCTGATGTAGTAAACTAGTGCATTAGGCCTACAGTACATTAGTTTATACAGCCTCCCTTGTTTTATATCATGCGAAGGATTGGAAAATCGTGCCTCATTTTGTAAAGTTTTGAGACCATATTACATAATTTAAACCTTATTAGAGAAACATTTGTCCCTATTTTCCTGTTAATATTATTAATGTACTCTTTATATTATGAATTTAAAAACTGTAGGCCATAATATTTAATTGTGGTTAAAGATTTTTTTTTATGTGCGTAGTTTAGGAAAAATATGTTTGTCACCACAAAATTTATGGTAAATTTTGTTTGTTTTTTATTAAACCTAGTTAAAAATGTTGCTTTTAGTTTCCTTTATAACACCCAATTTCCCAACTTTAATTAGCATTTAGTGTTTATGGAATATTGACCTACCACCCAATTACCCCCATGGGGGTAATTGGGTGGTAAAAAACATTTAATTTTTTTTAATTTTTTTGGGGAATTGCGGGAAAAAATAAAACATGAAAAAGATAGCATTTTGTATTATAAAATTAATTAAGTAGGCATTTAACAACAAAAATAGGAAAAGTGGCCTAACCAGATACATTTGTAAAACATACCTCCCAATTCCCCCCGCTTACCCTATTTCATTCATTCATTCATTCAAATATTCCATTATTTTTACCGCGGATGAATATTACAACGGTTAAGTTGATATTACTATTCAAATAGGCCTATACAACTTTTGGAGGTCTGTCATACATAATCGGCATTAGGCCTAAAGACATCACTCAAAAAAGACATCACTTTTTTGTCAGTGCGTATGCATATTAATTTTAGGTACTGGTACCAAAACTGAACGAGTAAAACTATTTAATTTTCAGCTATTTGTATACCTGTTTGCGCCTCTTTGTCACCAAATCAAAGAGTCAGACTTGCAAACATTTCGCCTGGAGAATGGAACTAAGATATGGCAAGCCATGTGGGAACATCGCCATCCGAATTCTCCTTGCTTCACTGCTCACGCCAAGCCAAAACCTCGCGATCTTTGGGCTAAGATGACAAAAGGTCCTCGTCCCCATTTTGGAGATGTTTTTCTTGGAAGTGAGTATAAATAGTTCAATAAACGTAACAGGCCCACTGAATATAAATTGTAGACTTGGAAGAGTAGTCAATTTGACATCTTTTTTGAAAATTTAGTCCAATGCACGAATACTAGAATAATTCCGGTATGGATCATAAACATAAACAAATGACATTGTTGGCCCGAATCCTATACAGTACTGATATAATTGAACATATGTTTTGGCAGTTCCATTTAAGCAATGTTAAATAATGTTTATTTTCTTGCCAAAAACGTCATTTCTTCATGTTTATGACCCATACCGGTATTTTTCTAGTATTCGTGGTCCAATGCATGGGGTTTGAAAATTGTGACGATTTTGAATGAATAAATGATTTAAATATAATTTAAACTTAATTGTATAGTATTAAATCTCATTGTACATAATAAGCAACTAGTAATTTTTTGTCGGTGCCAAGTTCCTAGCAGGACCACTTCCTGAACTAATTTGGTTCTTGGAATCCTTAACATCACTATACAACTTAATAGTAGGCTAGGCTACACATTCTTAAAAAGGAAGTTGCAAATGTCTTTTTCGTATGACATATTTATGTTACAATAGTATATTGTTTACGTTAGTTACTTATACTACGTATATTCATTTAAAAAATGTTTTTCTTTAACATGTTGGTGAAGACAAACCTTTTATGGTTTTACTCCCCTATTTTATTTATCGCATGCATATCCATTTTTGTTTAACAAATAGGTGAAATTGATTGTAATTACCATTTAAGAATTGGGAGTTATTAATTCCAAAAGTATTGATGGGAAATCAAGAATTGCCTCCGGACGCATCTGTATTTACAGTAGACAAGACTCTCTCTTATCCGGACACCTTTTAACCGGACATCCGTTTAACCGGACTACACGCGGCAGAAATGACATCTCTTTAACCGGACATTTTTTATCAGCACATTGGTTTAACCGGACTAGATCGGCAGGAAGTGGGCGGTACTGAAACGACTGTTCTCGTGGGAAAGATTTGAGACCAGTGATCACGTGTCTAAATACAATGCTCTCCTAAATTTAAGTCAAATATCACAGTAAACAGTCCATTTTAACGAGTTTTTACGGACGTCGGTTTAACCGGAAAACCCGTTATCCGGACTGGCCTCGGTCCCGAGGAGTCCGGATAAGAGGGAGTCTACTGTAGCAACAAAAGTTACTGGGAATGTTAACGTTCCAGGAAGTGGAGGGGTGGAAATGGTTGCGAGCTGTGAAAGTCCTACACAAGGATCCACGTCCGTCACTGACTTCGGCTCAGCCGGGTCAACCGTCAACAGACAAGTGGATGAGGAGGTATAACTAAAATATGTGCTTGTTATCTACATGGTATACATCATGTTTAATTACGACTAACAGGTATCACCGTTGCCGGAGCTTTTGAGTAACTTACTGTTATCCTATAAGTTAAGTACATTTGTCACAGGTATGGGATCTTCAGGAAAATGTGTTGTATTAGATCCATAACTGCAATATAGACTATAGGTTGCACATTATCTGTCAGCAGTTCCAAATGGTAACATTTAAATGGTGCATGTTTCGGGAGAATGCCACTGTCAAACACATCAGTCCAAGAAATACATAAAATCTACTGGAATAGCTTCATCGAGGGTTTGAATACACTCATACAATATTAATGACAGATGAATAATAATCTCTATTCGAGAGGCCTATCACGGCACTAGTAAATTCAAGTCGCTGCATATTGTTTAATTTTTTAGGTAAAAAAGTAATTTTCAAAAGTAAATTTTGGATGGTGATGCAGAATGAAACACATGTTTCGATCCTGATGATCAGTCTGGAGCAATAAATGTGTAGCTACAACCTTCTACACACAATTTCTACTGCTTTATTCCGAGACCAACATGATTAACTACTTAAAAGCAGGAAAATAAGATTGCACAAACAGCTGTAGCAATATTAATTTAAGCCTAACAAGAATAGTATTTTATCTTTTGCAAATGGAGTGGTAAAGGACCTAGGACTTAAAAAAATCCATTTCCTAACGTACAATATGAAAATAGTGCAAATCCCACAATTCTAGGAGTTACAGTTAAACAATGATACCACTTTTAAAAGGCTGCTAAAACTGTAAATCTCTTTAACTTCACTATCCTGTATAGGCCTACTGTATTTTTAATGTAAAGCTTTGTTTGTGTTCATGCATGTGTGTTCAACATGTTTTGAATCTGGTTGTAAGGAAATCTGAATAAAGCCTCAGTAATTTTACTGCTGTGGGGAGTTTGAGTATTTTTAGGAAAGGTGCCAAAAGGCCTAACCTCAACTCTGAATCAAAATTTTTTCTAAGTTTTACTGCTTTTAAACCCAATTCACTGTTTCCAAAGCCACAGTCTAAGTTGTTTGGTATTAAGATCGACTTATTGGCAATCCTTAATTACTAGGACTATTCAAATAATAAAGTGAGCTATCGATAAAATAAAAGGATTACCTAATCCAACCACAGTTGTTGGTATGACAACTAGTTTTGTTCCTTAGAACTTGGTCAGGTTATTGTATGCAACCACATCATGAATGTATTAATACATTGTGGTATGTTAAAAGATTCTTTAAAATACTGCCAAAACCACAATAACTAAAACCTGTCATGTTGATCAAATTTGTTATTTTGTATTTGATCAACATGACAAGTTTCGATTATTGTGATTTTGGCAGTATTTTAAAGAATCTTTTGACATACAGTAGATTTCCGATTATCAGAGGTCCGACTATCCGAGCCGCCCAGTTGTACTATATATACAGTTTTTTTTCAATTATGTTCCATGTCCACAGTATTGATAGCCGTGAAAATGTAATTCCACCGGTAATAAATCAATTGTTGGTACGAGTTGGTAGAGAATTATCTTTTTATTTATTGATAAATCACTTATTACTGTAATAATAAACAATATTCTCCAGTTTCAATACGATTTTTGTCTAATTATAACCTATAAGTTTTACTGCTGTGTTTTTTGAGTTTTTGATTATCCGAGGTAGTCTCAGTCCCGTTTAGCTCGGATAATCGGACTTCTACTGTACCACAATGTATTGATGATGGTGTTGCATACAATGACCTCACGGAATTTTAAGGAACAAAACTAGTTGTCATACCATCAACTGTGGTTGGATAATGTAATCCTTTTATTTGATCAATAATATATTCCAAGCAAGGGTCACAACGAATAATATAAAGGGTGCTAGTTTTAAATCTTTCACAAGTAGAAAGAAATTCTTAAAACCAGATTTATAAACTGTATGTTTGGAAGACCAGTTTAAATGTGATGTTGATACCCTTCCATTGTAATTCTGAGTTCCCAATCGCAGCCATCATCACTACTTTTCCGTAATTACTGTAACTTGTTTCCGTAGTTTTACTACTACTCATTTTTGAGAATTTATCATGTATTAGGTCTATAATTTATTGAGCGATATCATGTGTTAGGGCTATTTCTTTAAAACTTGCTGTGTAAAAGCAATGCAAACATTGTTCCAGAACATCTGGGTATCATCTCCAAAAGACATAGCTTTCCCTGAAACTATCCCTGAGGAAAGTTCAAGTGCCGAGGAAGACCACATGGTGAGTTTAGGGAGTAATGCGATTGCAGATTCGCGAACGTTTGGTAGCGTAGAGTAGAGATTTGAGAGCATGACATTTTTATAACTATTCGAAAGTGGGATTGTTTTTAATTGAAGAATCTTAAAGCATAGACAACATTGATGAACCTTGGTGAAGACAAGTTTGAGTAAGCAGAAAAAAAGAGTGAAACAGAGAGACTGTAAACTTTTATTTACAGAGAGTAAAAAGAGTGAAAGATGTGGCAAAGAATAAAGAATCTAATTTTTTCATCAAGAGGATTTGAAAGTTTTGAAAAAGATTATTTGTGTTACGCTTCATGCAAGAACTATTGCACAGATGGATGCTTTTTGTTCGATTAATTTCTTTAGTCTCTGTTCAGAATATAAAAATATGATACAAGAAAGAACGAATGTCGCTGGAGAGTACTCAATTCCTATGTGTGAGTATTCAAACAAAATATAAAAATGATCACCTGTTTCTTTCTTGATGTAAATCAAATGGAAGAATTGTTAAAGGAATAGAAAACAATTTCAGGAAATTTCTTGAGAAACAAATCTTTAAGGTGAATTAAGAGATTAAGAGCTTCACACCGGTTAGTAAGTGTAAATCTTTTGATCTGTAATTGTTTATTCCTCATTCTTAAATTTATCTCCAGCATTTAAAAAAAAAAACCTCAAAATTATTGATTTTTTGTGTTGGACACAAAATAAGAAATATTTGACAATTTCGGAATTCTGATACTGATGTAAATTGTTTTTGATATAACGTTGATTGCAGTGACTTGTGAAAATAAGAACGCATACTTTATTGCAATAGGTAATGTGATATGTTCGACTTGGTTTAAGGAATAATATTCACCATAACACCAGTAAAAAAAATTATCTTAGGTGATTGAAGATTGTTAAAGGAAAAAATATTTAAATTGGGTGGGCAAAACAGCTGGAAAAACATAAAACCATCGGTGAATCAGTTATCCAGCACTGATAAATATTTTGGATAGAAGATTACATACTATACTTCAATATATTTTTTGTTACCAGAGATGGGTAATAAAAAAAATTAACTATGCTGAAACTATTGAATACGGAAAAAGCCATTATCACCACGGATGAGCATACTACCACTAAGGATGAAAAACTATCATAACGGCAACTATTCAGGCAGCCAATATAAAACTCGATAACAGTCAAACGTAGCTTAAGGCTCATTCATAGTTGGCCTAAAAATTATTGAGTCGCAAAAACGGAGATTAGATGCTAAAAAGAGTGTTATGAAAAGGAGCGAACTAAAAAATTGTGAATTATTCAATGCTGCAAAGGTCTTTGAATGAGGTCTAATGCAGAATAAGTAATTGAGAAATGTAGTCTTACCTATTTTTATATAACTCATCAGAGCTAGAAGAATATTTTGTATGAACAAAACATTCAGAAAGAATAAAGGAACAACCATCTGTGCCAAGAAAGCCTGTGATTTAAACAAGATTTAAGGTGTTACCCAAGAAGGACAAATTATTACATTTTGTAAAATTTCCATGTTTTCATTCATTTTTTGAAGTAGCATGAACACATTGCATGTTTAACTTCCATTTTTTGCATTTTCCTACGTAGTCTACATTTGTATTCCTTTATCAGTCGTATAGTTAATTGAAGTTATTTTAGAGATTATTGTTGTAATTGAAGTAATCAAATGAGGTATTTCCCCATGCGGGTTGGAGTAGGACTGCAGCCTTTCCGGCTTGTTAATGCTGCAAAAATAAATTGCTATTGCTAATTAGGAGAGCCTGGAAGTGCGCCAGTTGTGCTGCAGGGGTTGATTTGTGCTTTGTGCAATGAGTATTCTCAGTGGGTCGTGAGCCAGCCACTTTGTCCCTTGGTCAGGAAGTGCGGCATGGATGTAGAGCGTTGCGACAGGTGACCCCCGGCTAGTCAGGTGTCCGGTGCTGGGTAAATGAGGTCAGGACTCTGGGAAAACCCTAGGACAAATACAAATAAGACTTAGCAAAAGATTGCCTCAATAAAGTCTTGACAGATTGTCTCAGGCTTAGCCTGAAAGGATTGGTTATGAAAAGATGTGAACTTTCTCTATTGGGTTTCTTTGGCATGGGGTAACCTTTTCAGTTTTCATGCACCTCCTTGATTGGAGCAGGGACAGCTACCTTTTTGTCTTTGTCTGCCTCAGCTTCCTCTTTTCCTTGAGTAGTTGGAGACCTTAAGGGCAGTCCTTGTACAATTTGAACCTCTTCTAATACTACTCTATATTATTAGTTGTGGGCGCAAAACGTAAACATCTTATAGTTACAGCATTTTGAATTGTACAATTAACAATTCTGTTAACAATTCTTTTGTGGTGTTATAATTATTAACCCTTCGCAGACGGGTGATAAAGGACGGATGGCAGGTATATACACATATGGGTTTCCGGAAGGGAAACGGATGTATCCGCCTTACCTTCAGACAGCCTGGCTGGTGTTTTTTCTCGGGCTACTATGGTGTTACATCCCCACGCTCTCCGTAACGGTTGCGACATTGAAAGTGACCCGCCACCCTCTCCTGCGCTCCCCCCACACCCACAATGTTGCGCAAGCAACACCACTTTGTTGGCGCATGAAATAGTGATATGTACAATCTCTTAAAACGTAAATAGTCCTGGATTTCAAAAACGGGCAGAGGATATATCTTCCATTTTTCTGCTCATCCGCGGACGGGTGGCGTATATATCCTCACAATTTTTTTGTGTATACTAACTAGTTAAAAATTTATTTTGATAGTATGAGCTGTTCCATTGTGTTTATTTGATGTATAAAGGTATAAAAAGAAACAAATAATGAAAATTAATATTTTATTTGTATAATCTTTTGGCCCTAGGCTATAAAAGTCGCCTGTCTGGGAAGGGTTTATTTATGTTATTGGCAACCTTTTGTTCAAAATTTTACTGTCTTGTTTGGTACTGCTTTTGACACCGACTATCACCCTTTTTTTGAGCATGTCCTGTTTTGTTTGAATATCATTCTTGCTTGTGCTTCTGCTTTGAAATTTTGATTGTTATACTGTATGCACAAAACTACTGTAGGGTAAAAATAGTATATTCATCCTCACTAGGGTTTAAAGTGACTCTTTTTGACTCGTGTTCAAGTTTTACGTTCGACAGAAAGCTGATGTCAAGAAATGAGTGAGGATTGAAAAGACACTTTTTGTCCGTGTGATGAACTTTATTTTTCTCCATATTGCACCATTGCGATGCGGATCTAAAGTAGCTATTTTATTCCCTAGGGAGTACCCTAAGTGAAAAAAAGTTAAAAAAAAGTAGTGGGAAATTTCCCCTGAAACCGCCTAAATTTTGTGACGGAGTATAATAAGTAGAAAATAAGTAATGCACGTTGATATTTGTTGTAGGAACCTTTATAGTTATATACATTTGATCTCTTGTCAGCTAATAAGTGATTTGAAAAAGCTAGAAAAAACCTGAGAACCCTTCACAGCAATTCATTATGTGTGCAAACCATTTTATTTTCTGAAAATTGCTAAACAAGTGGTGTATTTAAGTTTAGGCTAGGAATTTTGTGTACATATGTTAAGTATTTTTTGTAGGCCCTGTTTTGAATATTTTAGTAGGGTTTAGATAAAGAAAAGCCTATTATAATTTTAAGTTGTTAATATTGTTCTGCAACTTCCTGTTTGCAGAAAACCAAAGTACTTTTATCGTCTGTGTTTTTATATTCTGTATAAATCCACCAATGGCTTAATAGCAGTGATCGTTGCTGTTAAAGAGAATTAGAGAATACTTTTGATGGTTTAAATAACCTATATTTCTTATTTCTTGCAAATAATCTGTATGCAGGGATATTTTAATTTTAAAATGCACATTGGATAGTTTTACTTTGAACTGTTCTATTTCTCGTATTAGTACTATTTATGTTTTCTATTTTTGGAAACAAATTGTATTACCTACTAAAGAGTTTTTTTGTAGAGATTTTTATTTGGAGAACAGTTATTAACAGAACGCATATCGTATGCCAATACAGTATAATTCCTCGTCCCATGTGTACAAAATTTATTTTATATACCAATTGCGAATCATAAGACATTTTAAAATGACAATTTTCCATTTACCAATTGATTGTTTAGGATATTTTTGATCTGGTTTTTTGTCTTGTTGGAGTAATTTGACATAAACAAATTTCATTGATATAGTTCTAATAGTTAGATACAGGGTTTTCATAAATGAATGGTGCAATTTTAACTTTAAATTAAAAGAAAACTATATAAAGTACATTAAAAATATTTATTTCATTAGAATCTCCATTAAAAACAGTTTTATATACTGATGCATTTTACATTTCAATGTGTCCACCAACGATAGCTCTGCAGACATCTAATCTATGGTCGATCTCGGCCCATACGCTGTGCAGCATGTCTCTTGTAACCGATGATACTGCCTCATAAATCCTTTCCTTTAAATGAGCAACATCACGGATTTTCTGAGAATATACGATGTTTTTTACGTATCCCCACAGGAAAAAATCGCATGGAGTCAAATCCGGGCTTCTAGGAGGCCATGCTATTGGGCCACCTCGACCTATCCATCTTTGTTCAAACTTGTTATTCAAAGCAACACGAACAAAGTCCTTATAATGGGCTGGTGCTCCATCTTGTTGAAAATACATCATATTGACATTATCAAACTCGTCAATTTTAGGAAAACAAAAATTTTCTAGCATATCCAGGTACACATTACCATTAACACTTTTCTCGGCAAAGAAAAAAAGGTCCAATTACTTGGTTTTTAGTCAGTCCACACCAGACGTTTACCTTTGGTGTGTCTCGGATTTTTTCGATGATCTCATGAGGACGTTGAAAACCCCAAATTCGAACGTTGTGTCTATTAACACATCCATTAACATGAAAAGTTGCTTCATCTGAAAACATTACATCATTTAAAAATGATTCATTTTCTTCAATCTGATTTAAGATGTAAGTTGCATACTCCACACGTTTATTTTTATCATTCGGTTTGATACCATGCAACAGTTGAATTTTATACGCATGAAAATGCAGCCTTTTATGCAAAATTTTATGCAGAGTTGTCACTGGGATTCCAAGCTCCAGACTCCGACGTGGAAGAGATTTTTTTGGACTTCTAAGACAAGATTCGCTAACGTTTTGAATTGTTACCTCTGATACAGGCGGTCTCCCAGAAGTCTTCCGTTTTTGTACCGATCCAGTTTCTACGAATTGTTTACTCCAGCGCGTAATGTTATTTCTGTGAGGTGGAGCTTTGTTAAATAATCCCCTAAAAGCCCTTTGCACTAAAACAACAGACCTTAATTCACTCAACAACAGCACACACTTGGCTTTCTCTTGATCAGAAAACATGTTTTTTGATCAGAATCGAATATTTGAGGTTATTGCACAATTTAACCAACAACAATGAAACAGCTGTTTTCTAAGACAGAGTAATAAAACTAAATGAGCTGAAGAATTCAGAGGTGCCAACCATTTTTTTTTACCTCGCACAGTAATTATTTTATAAGCATTCAAAACTGCACCATTCATTTATGAAAACCCTGTATAATTAAATCTGAAATAATTTGACGACGTTTTTGACAGTTTCAGGTTATTGTGCAGTTCACTCACTCCTCGGGAAACAATGTAAGTGAAAATTAACTTCTCAAACTGTAATTCAACTAATTAGAAATAATTTGTATAAGCCATTTATATCTCTTATATAGGCTTACCTCCGTCAGTAGTCCAAAATTGTGTCTTTTTCAACTAATGTTGTTCAAAGCTTACATGTTTCGTTGCACTGCAACATCGTCAGAGCTTTTTGTCAAAAACATCAAATGATTTATACATAAAACAAAACACGGAACACGAAACATTTAAACACGTAATAACACGATAGCGCTATCGACACGGCACGGCAGCGGTTGTAGGTAGACTGGACACGGGTTAAGTAACTTCGTCCCGTCCTTCTCTGTTATCAGCTCGGTGGTCAGCTGTTCTAGATGAGATAACGGTGTTGAAGAGGGAGTGGGACTTGAATTGTAGTTTATCATTGAGGATGTATTCCTTGTGTTCTTCGTTTACGTTCATTTTATATATCTCATACTCCTCAAGTGTGTCCAACTTATTACCTTTCCCGCAAAAATGTAGAACTTCCAAGCCGTTCTTAATATCACTCATTGAGTGATTACAATCTACAAGATGTTGAGCAAACGCGGATTTTTGTTTATGGTGTTTAGGATCTGGTCGGTGTTCTTTATATCGTGTTTGAAAGGCACGACCTGTTTGCCCTATGTATTTGCTAGGACAATCCGGACAAGATATCCTATACACGCCGGTCTTATCTACTTTGTCACCTATCTCAACTTTATTTGCCAACACGTTCCTGGTACGGTTTGTGGTTCTGAAGGCTAGTTCAATGCCTTGTTTAGCGAGTTCTTTCTTTAATGCGTGTTGGATAGTGTGACTATATTCCACGCAGACATATTTTTTCTTCTCTGAGCTGTCAATCTTCACACCTTGTTTGTTTTTATGTTTTTTGATGAGCCTATCTACCAAACCGCTTTTATAACCATTGACTGTAGCTATATGTTTTATAATTTTGTATTCAATCTCATAATTTACTGCATTTAACGGAACTGTTAACATCCTATGGATCAATGAATTAAATGCTGAAATTTTTTGAGAATATGGGTGGTATGAGGTATTGTGGATAGTTTGTGCAGAAGTAGTTGGTTTCCTGTAGATGCTATAATCGAAACTGTCAACATTCTTCCTTATGGTTAAATCTAAAAAATGTATGCAGTTCGATTCTTCTGTTTCAAGTGTGAATTCTAATTTTGGTGCTATTTGATTTAAATATTTGAGGAGGAGGTTTAATTGTCTCTTGTTGCCATCAAACAATACAATGGTGTCATCCACATATCTATAGTACATGAGTATTTTATCTTTATATTTGTTTTTATCTGAAAATATGTTATTATTTTCAACGTGATTCAAGTAGATATCAGATAAGATACTTGATAGTGGCGATCCCATAGCAAGGCCGTCGTTCTGTAAATAATATTTACCATTAAAAGTAAAATAGTTTTGACGGAGTACTTCAGTTAATAGTTGTAACATTTCATTTATTGCTTCAGGTAGTAAGTTTGAATGTTTATTTAGGTTGTCATGAACGATGTCCAATGTGGTTTTCAATGGGACATTGGTATACAGGTTTACAATGTCAAATGAGGCAAGAGATTGGTGCATTTTTATTTTAAAGTCTTTCGTTTTATTTATGAAATCGTAGGTGTTTTTTAGGCTATGATTGTTTTCAAGGACAATATTTTCTTTCAATAAACATTCTAATTTCTTGGCTATTTTATAAGTAGGAGCGCTTGTATAGTCTACTAGGGGTCTGATGGGAATACCCTCTTTATGGACTTTAGGTAGGCCACGTAAAATGGGCGGGGATGGGTTCATGACACGTAGATATTTTATGTCATCTTCAGTAAATAGCACTTTACTCTGGTTGACCAATTTCTTTATTTTGGTGTGAAATGATTTCGTGGGATCCTTGTCTATTTCAATTATGTCGTTTTTAGAAATGAAACTTTGCACTTTGACATTGTAATCAGTTTTATACATTATTACAGTTGTATTGCCTTTGTCAGCTTTACATAGAATAGCGTCATTGTCATTTAACTTAGTTTTAATGTTTTGTAAAGCTTTTAACTCCATTTTTTGTGACGGAAGTAAGATTCTATTGCCTATCCTGTGTTTTCTATTTAATTTGCGTGTGATTATTAACCTAGCCTCGTTTCTGTCATCTTCATTAACGATAGATTTGATTGCCATTTCAGCGTTTATTACTTCATTAAACATGCCTTTTTTACCGAGTTTTGGGAGGTTATGTTTTAGCCCTTTATCGAGAAGTTTCATTTCATCGTCATCAAACTTGATTGAAGTGTTATTTACTGTACTTGGAAAAAATTCGAAGTCGAAAAGAGCAGCTGTCAATTTATCCTTCTGCGCATTTATAAGTGAGGTTAGTTTCTTGAAAACAATCATAGCCTAAAAAACACCTACGATTTCATAAATAAAACGAAAGACTTTAAAATAAAAATGCACCAATCTCTTGCCTCATTTGACATTGTAAACCTGTATACCAATGTCCCATTGAAAACCACATTGGACATCGTTCATGACAACCTAAATAAACATTCAAACTTACTACCTGAAGCAATAAATGAAATGTTACAACTATTAACTGAAGTACTCCGTCAAAACTATTTTACTTTTAATGGTAAATATTATTTACAGAACGACGGCCTTGCTATGGGATCGCCACTATCAAGTATCTTATCTGATATCTACTTGAATCACGTTGAAAATAATAACATATTTTCAGATAAAAACAAATATAAAGATAAAATACTCATGTACTATAGATATGTGGATGACACCATTGTATTGTTTGATGGCAACAAGAGACAATTAAACCTCCTCCTCAAATATTTAAATCAAATAGCACCAAAATTAGAATTCACACTTGAAACAGAAGAATCGAACTGCATACATTTTTTAGATTTAACCATAAGGAAGAATGTTGACAGTTTCGATTATAGCATCTACAGGAAACCAACTACTTCTGCACAAACTATCCACAATACCTCATACCACCCATATTCTCAAAAAATTTCAGCATTTAATTCATTGATCCATAGGATGTTAACAGTTCCGTTAAATGCAGTAAATTATGAGATTGAATACAAAATTATAAAACATATAGCTACAGTCAATGGTTATAAAAGCGGTTTGGTAGATAGGCTCATCAAAAAACATAAAAACAAACAAGGTGTGAAGATTGACAGCTCAGAGAAGAAAAAATATGTCTGCGTGGAATATAGTCACACTATCCAACACGCATTAAAGAAAGAACTCGCTAAACAAGGCATTGAACTAGCCTTCAGAACCACAAACCGTACCAGGAACGTGTTGGCAAATAAAGTTGAGATAGGTGACAAAGTAGATAAGACCGGCGTGTATAGGATATCTTGTCCGGATTGTCCTAGCAAATACATAGGGCAAACAGGTCGTGCCTTTCAAACACGATATAAAGAACACCGACCAGATCCTAAACACCATAAACAAAAATCCGCGTTTGCTCAACATCTTGTAGATTGTAATCACTCAATGAGTGATATTAAGAACGGCTTGGAAGTTCTACATTTTTGCGGGAAAGGTAATAAGTTGGACACACTTGAGGAGTATGAGATATATAAAATGAACGTAAACGAAGAACACAAGGAATACATCCTCAATGATAAACTACAATTCAAGTCCCACTCCCTCTTCAACACCGTTATCTCATCTAGAACAGCTGACCACCGAGCTGATAACAGAGAAGGACGGGACGAAGTTACTTAACCCGTGTCCAGTCTACCTACAACCGCTGCCGTGCCGTGTCGATAGCGCTATCGTGTTATTACGTGTTTAAATGTTTCGTGTTCCGTGTTTTGTTTTATGTATAAATCATTTGATGTTTTTGACAAAAAGCTCTGACGATGTTGCAGTGCAACGAAACATGTAAGCTTTGAACAACATTAGTTGAAAAAGACACAATTTTGGACTACTGACGGAGGTAAGCCTATATAAGTCATTATTCGTAGTCCAGGGGCTATCAGAATGAATAATATACATTTATATCTGATGGATGGTCAAATCAGCTGTGTAATCTAGGTTAGGTTTAAACAAGGCCATGCTGCAGCGTGGGCAGCGCAACACGTCACAGTGGTGGATAGTTGTACTAAAGTTGTTTGACGTAAACAGCCAGCTTATTTACCTAAAACATATGGGATGACAGTGAATCTATCCACAAGTGTGAAGTCATGGATCCTGCAGCATGGCCTGTTTTTCTAGTGGGGCTTTGGTATAAAGGGTATCGCAGGCATGTTACCTCAGACCAGATGTATAAATGCAAACAACTTGGCCTTCTTACAGTCTTTCACTATTCATTTTCGAACTGTTTGTAGCATAAAGTATTAAAACAGTTTTAATATACCATGGCAATAATACCCTGTAAAGACACACATCGATTCAACATAAATTAACTTAAATCATTTATAGCCAATTGGAATAAAGCTATTTGATGCCTTGTCAGAAAATTTACAATTAATTTCACATCCCCAAAAATTAAAGTCGGAGGTCCAAAAGTATTAAGTGAAGTCAAGTTTCTATGACATCAAAACCTCCATGAAAAGGTTGCTGAATTAGATTTAAATTGATAGATTAATCCTGATCCACCCAATTCCTTCTCAGAGGACCACTGATGGAAGAATCATGTATGATGTATGACTTGTAGGCGCACACGTCTACCAGTATCAAGCAGGTTCAGGTGCCTGTGCCTCGTATTACCAAGGTGCCTACAGTGACGTACGAGAGGGTGGCTGCCACTCCTACGATTCCACGCCAGAAGCCTCAAGCTCAACCTACAGGGTGAGATTTTTGGTTGATTGGAATTCAGTTTTGTTATGCATGACAGTGAATCACACAGAGCAAAATACGCAGGATTTTTTTATCACAAAAACAAGATTTTTACACCTTGCACAAGATGAAAATTGTATGCAGAATAATCTTATACAAGGAAGATTTTAGGCTCTGACGCATGATTGTCTTTCTTTCCTGCTTTCTAGATAAATGCTAACTTTAATTAATTAAAATTTTCTAGCTTAAAATTATCGCAAGGTTTAAAGTGTAATTTTATTGTGATTCATCTAAAATATCACTCAGGATTGAACAAAATTTGTATGAACTCATGCGGGATAAAACAGGATTTTCTATGTCCGGTCAGGGGATTTTTGTTTGGGTTGTGTGGAAACACTGAATGAAAATTGTCTAAATGAAAATGGAAACTCTTTTTAACATGTAAGCTAAAAGAAATCTAGCCAAAAAATGTATTTCTTTAATGTGGAAATGGTCACTACAGTTTCTTCCGTTTCCCCCACAGTGAAAACAATTGATGAAGCAAGAACCTTACACACTTTTGAAGTACAGTCGAACTACTTTAGTACGAACCACGGTAAAACTAATTCTTTGGTAAGACAAATTAAATCCCCTTGCAACTTTCATAAAGGTCAATGCTAAAAACAGCTCTGTACAATGTAGTTATTAGGTAAGACGATTTTGTTTGTGACATGAGCTAGGACTGATTGATCTCTATACAACAAATATTCTTAGCACAAAACCTGACGAATGCGACCTCTATAAGACGAATTTCTCATTATCTTAACCTCCATAGTACGTAGTTTTCAAAACAAACAGAAGCTTGTCTTAACATGAAACCCCACCTATCCCTCTTCCTTCCCCAGTCATTGTCCCAGAGCAAGGAGAAACCTCTATAAGATGAATAACAGCAGTATTAAACCTTGATAAAATAAACCTCTTTATTAAGAATACCTTCATAATACAAATTTTGCCCCTACCCCTTAAAATTCGTTTTATAGAGGTTCGACTGAATATTTATACTGAAAAACTGAAAGACTTTAAAAAATTCAACATTACTTTTTGTGGGAAAATTTTGACCTCACTCCAGTTAAACTGTTTGCCCAGGACCCCGTCAGCAAGGGGAAGGGGAGGTCCCCCAGTCAATGACATCGCTGCAGCTACATTTCTTGACGTAGCCGTGCTGCGATGTCTCTTCATATCTCAGTGGCCCGAGGAAGGGGTGTTCTGGGCTTTGCAGTATCTTTATCATAGGTGAGTTACATAAGTGGCACAGTGACTGTTTTGCTTCATCATCAGTTAGTTGATTATTTTTAAATGATGATTTTATTTCACTGTACAAAATAACACAAGTACAACAACATACAAAATAACAGTTCTGTATTGCTCTTGCGAGTATACATATTATTCACTTGCACAGGGTTTAATTTCCTTCAAAACATTTTAAATATACTTACTGTACACATTTATTACAGGATTTCTGAAATCTGTCTAATCGCTTAACCGTCACGCTCCCGGTCCCTAGGGTTAAGAGACGTTAATAGAGGTTCTACTCTAGTTATCTAACAGAATCTCAAATCTCAAACCACCAAAACGTTGGAAAATTGTCATTTTAAGATTTGATCTGCAAAAAGGACCATAACATACCAAATTTTAATCAACATCGTTCCAGCTGTTTCGTAAAAATACATTTTTTCTGTTATTTTATGAGTTTTTATAGAAAAATTACCTTTAAAAATCATAACAAATATGTATTTACCTTTTTGTCTCCAGCTCCATTTGATGTAACTTTCGTCACAACCGTTTCGGCTTTGTAATGCCATTCTAGATGTTGAAAATCAGCTGGAGTTTTTGGAGCTGGATCGTCATCTTAGTTGAAAAACACAACACAAAATATACATTTAATGTATATACAAAAATTAAATTAAACCGGCCTGTCGGTACCGGCATTTTGTGTTGTGTTTTTCAACTACTACGCTACTCCAGCTGATTTTCAACGTCTTAGGACGGCATTATAATGCTGAAACGGCTGTAACAAAGGTTTCAACAGATCGAGCTATAGACTAAAAGGTAAACACCTATTTTTAATTATATTACAGCTCAGGTGTTAAAACATGGATTTCAATTTAAAAATCAAAATTATAAAAACATCTAGAGATGTCTTAGATTAGTGACATAATCATTTTTTCTAAAAATTGGACCACAGGTCTGTGTAGCTCTGCACACTTTCTTTCACACACAGACATCACTTAATAAAACACTTTTAGGGATTCACTGGGACTTAAAATAAATTATTCCACCCAAAACTCAACAAAATTGACAAATTTGACAGAAACAATACTTTATCTATACTAGTGTATGTATAAAAGGAGAAAGTAATATAAAACATTTAACAAAAAGTGAATACCCCTCAAGCATACAATCTTCCCCGACAGATTGCAGGAGCTCAGCGAGGGGTCCATCAGCCAGCAGCAGTCTCGCCGTCGCAGCAACTCTTTGCCGATACCCAAGATCGAGGTCTCTCTCTACCAGAGTCCTGAGACCAAGAAGAAGGAGAATAAGGACTTCATTGAAGTTCCTGAACCAAAAGACATAAACGTCCTTGCAGGTTAGAGGTATTCCTTTCAGATTTATTTGGTTGCATTTTAAAGGAAAGCCAGTTGTATTCTAGAGGTTAATACCTTTTTTGCAATATTACAGCACTGATATTACAAGCTGTAGGACTTCTTCAGTAGGTTGAGAAAATTTCCTCTTCGCTGAACTCTATTACTTTTCAAATAATTGTTTTCAGATTATTCGTTGTCTCTACATTCAAAAAGTTGTTTCATGTCAAATTTATTTCTTATAGAAATAGCTCACATTGCTTATGCTTAGTCAACTGTTGTAGAAATTTCAAAATTTGCTAGACAAATTATATGAAGTTTTAATTTGATGAAGAGTTAACAATTGAAGGTTTCACATGCATGTTGTGATTCCTTTTAGCTGAATAACTGAGTTGCGCTGTTACATTAAACCACAACAAATTAATCTAGTTACAGGTTGAATTTATGAACTTTGTGTTGCATGAGTTGTAAGAGTTAACTAGCATGGATTAATCCAACAGTAACACAAGGTGACTGAATAAAAACATGACAGAAAAAAATGAAAGTTGCACAGACTAAAGTGTTCAGTTCAGGTAAACAAATCATTCTATATTGAGATCTAAACACATACAGTAATGGTATATAAAACAGTGGTCACTATTTTGTGTCTAAAGTGGTTAGGTTTCAATATGGTTCTACTGTCATTGCAGAAGCCCCATTCACGGTACACAAAGTAAACGAAGACAAGACCTCACATACAAGGCGCTCTAGTGAGAAGGGGAAGAAGAAAATGAAAATGGCTGACTTGAGGGCTTTCGTGGAAACCAAACTGCTGTCAAAATCAGACAAAGCTCTGGAGAGGATCGGCCAGATGGAAACAAAATCTCTAGACGATCAGGTTCGTGCCTTTTAACCTCAATGTAACTACCAACACAAAAAATGTTTTTGAATTTTTCAGCTACAATTTCATAACCAGTTTAAGAGCGGAAATAGTTGGAAGGGTTGTTGAAGTTATGGTGTCGGGTAATCTTTGTTTGTGTACTGCATCACAAACAGTATTCGAACTGGAGGAATTCTGTAATTTTATCATTTGTTACTGTCAATATTTTTCCTATATTTTCTTTTTGTGTCGTAATATACCTTTTTTACCCGTCCCACTTAACCGATTTGTACAATGTGTAATTCTAAAGTTTACAATCCAGCGGTAGGACAAATGTAGGGATGGACGGGTCTCAAATTTTTGAGATTCAAAAAATCTCGGATCAAGCAAAATTTGTTTTGATCAGAGACTTTTTTGAGACAAGGTCATAACAAAAAAATTGGAACACCTTCAAAAAGGAAACGTACCTCTGTATCGCAGAGACTTTCTGAAGCCATATTTTAAACTGTATCCATCTCAAAAATCAGTGAAATCGGTTTATTTGGTAATTTGTTTATCCGTTATGACTCTGATAAACTTACTCTATGTTACTCTATATCACAGGAGTACCACCGTAGCCTAGACACGGGAGACGAACACCTCGCTCGTGTTGGTTCACCTGTCAACAAACTCCTCGACCCAAAGCCTCGACCTGTCACAAACCTAGTGAAGGGGAAAAGCATGCCAAGTTTGAGGTACGCATAGCTGCATAGTTTATTTTAACGAAGAATTTTTAAATAATCATGATTTTTTCAATAAGTTGAGCTTTCCTATGTAACTGTTTTTACCATCTAGCTCTTTTAGCACCCAGTTATTGATTTTATTTTCTCTTACTAATTGATTTGAGTTCACTTTTGATTTTTTTTTTTAATAGACAGGCTAGTTTCCAAACTAAGCACCCTTCTATCAATCGATCAATCTTTGTTCACTTATACATTGAGTTAAATGTTGCTTTAAGACCCAGCCTAGATATTACGTTCCCCTTCTTAGATCTTTGAACTACTTCTATGTTCTATCCGTCTACGTGTGTGATTATGTTCTTGTTCTTCCTCTTTGAATTTATTACTCTCCATAGCGCTTTTGATTTGTCACCTGCTTTTTCTATGGTATGTTATTTTCTGATAGGCTGGTTTCCACACTAAACACTCTTCTATAATCTTGCTTGGCATGCAAGTTTGAAATATGAACGGAAAATGTATTAAGCCCAAAACAAACGGGAGGCCAACATCTGCGCACCAAAAAAAGTTATCACTAATGTTACCCTGTTTGTCAACACCTTTACTGCACATGCCAAGACATTTGTCATGGATATTGTAATGCGATTATATTTCGTCTAGCTATTGAGAAGGAAACGTATATTGTGCCTTAGCATGCACGTTTAGGTTAGTGGGTTTTTAATTTCTTGTTTGTTGAGGTTACCGCCAATATTAATATTATGAACAGGGCTTTATTTTCGCTTTGTTGGCGTTGTTTATCTTGTTATATGAACAACGTCGTTGTAGCATGTTAGAAATTTTATGATATGGAATAGAATAACGATACTGAATGAGTTGCATTGTGGAAGGAACCTAATCTCAAAACTTTGCTTGATCCCTTTTTTGCCGTATGTTTTGAAAGAGTATCCGGGTACTTGCCCCTGCTTTTTCCTCGATTTGACAATACTGAGGGCCGGCTAGCACTTTTGTTTAGTGCTGTTACCTATTGGGTTTTTGTAAAACTACGTGCACATTGACTGGGACTTAACAGTACATGCTAAAATATGCCTCTACTATTTGATGAAACTGAATTCAAATATTTTCCCGCACTCATCCACACAGCTCATTAGCTGCCCGCTCTCCCAGCAGCGGACGGTCATCATGCAACCGCAGCGAACGTGTTAAACGTGTCAATACAGCCAGGTCCGTCAGCATTGGCGAGTGATTTAGCGCAACTATCTGTGCCTGGACGTTACCCCCTCCTCTCCCATCGGTTTAGTTTTTTTGACATTTTATATAGTTTGTGTCTTCTTTTTGTCGTCTCGTATGTTTGCAGCACATCTTGAAACTCTGAGAATCGAAAGTAGCCTTGAAATGTCCGATTCCAGATTGCTCATCAAATAAAATTCTCGTAGTACATTTCTCCTGTTGAGTGTACCCAATAATCCCGCTGATGATGAAAGACAAAACATTCTTATCACTACTGCTGGACCTAACAAAACCACCTCGACACCGAGGTCCCATACATGACTGCTCAGTAAGCTCAGTAGCTTAGCTTGCCACACAGGGAACTGCAAGTAGATGTGAGAATCATCTGTGTTTGACAGCTGTGCGCAGAGATTGGCCACTCGACAGACGGACGACTGGTGTCTGTTGTCCTTCTTTGGTTCTATTCACAAAGTGAGAAGTAACTACTAATTATTGGTTTTATTACTATTTTACTTGATAGAAAAGGATGATGGAATCGGACTTAACTCTGTGATGGAAAGACATGGGACGCCTGTCACAAGATGAATCACATTCCAGTAATATTCAGATATTAGCCGATGATTCATCTGTCTGTGTCTTATTACCAAGTATCATATCCAAGGGTCGGATGTTGAGATTCAACTTTACCTCTTCATGGTAAAACTTAAATCCGTAACTACTATCCTCTACGGTTTCAAGTTTTCCAAAAAAAAGACAGTTTGTTCCATTTGTTATTTCTCTATGTGTTCTATAGACAATTCACTGATCACAACTTAAATTAGATCTAAATTAAATTTAGATTGCAAAAATACAAATATTATATGCATTTGTATTAGTTTGCAAACTAGCCTGATCTCACCATTGAAACTCATTTTTTTGGAAGCAGAGGTTTGAATTCCACATTTTCATTTAGGTGCAGACCTATGTTCATTCCTAGTTGTAAATGCAGTATGATATATCCTATGTCATTGTTATGTCTCTTATGTTAAAATATGTTTTATTGTTTAACTGCCATTGATTTTTTTATCTTGTAAAACTCCTTAATTTCATTGCGATCTCTTAAAATTGATCTAAAATACAACATTTGTTTTCCTTTCATAGGAAAATTATCAGTACTCATTGAGCACTTTTACTATAGTTTGGATCTAAGTGTTAATTTATTTTTTTTATGGGCTATTTGAATAAAAGTAACCATACATTTACACACACTGCAGGTTTTTGTGCAACAGATATTTTTAATTCTTTTCCTTTGACCATGACTCTAAATGTATGTGTTTATTTTTCTTCAAAGCATTATTCGGTTGGTTTTGTGGCATGTTTTGCATTGCAGATTCTGTTTATATAATTTTATAAAGAAAATAACAATTAAGTTGGTTTACAGTTATGATTTTCTAAACTAATGAAGATTAAATTTTATACCACTATCTGGGTTAGGTAATATTAACTAATACATGTATTGATTAACACAGGACTCAGAGTCGGATCCTTAAGTACTAAGTTTGGCTTTAGCAAATGACTTTGGCTTTTTACCAGTTAAATTACCTTAATACCAGTTTAATTTATTTATTTTATGAACAAATGTTGGTTGTTTTTCAAAAAAATGTATATTGCTTCTTTTGATTAAATGGTTTAGTTTTTTTGCGATTTTGTGATTTCCTTTATTGATTTATATATTTATAAACAATAAAACTTTTTGTGTGAAAAACAATTATTTAGAGAAAGTCTTAACTATCTTTTGATTTGGCTTAACCCTATTATCTTAGATACAAATGGTTTGTAGATAAGAGTAGGTATTTTTAACATTCATCCGATATCAAGTTGTCTTTCAAATTTTAGCCCCAAGTGTGTATTACCATAGACAAAAAGAATTAAATATAGACCGTCAGCTGTGCTGCAGGTACCATAAGTTCTGGCGCACATTGCTGGGAGCGCCATGTAGTTACGGCCTAAGCACTACGTAAGTACACGGCGCTCCCAGCGGTGTGTGCCAGAACCTATGGTAACCAAAATACGGCTGACAGTTTAAATTTAATTCTTTTTGTCTATGGTATTACTTATATAAAAGGTTATTACCGACTTAACTTATTTTAAACACTGTTTTATGTTTAGATATTAAACGCTTTGAACTTTTGGCAGGGAGGTTTAAACTGATCATGTAACAATAAATGAACTGAAAAAATAATAAAAATGACATTACTGGTAGCCTACGTTATAGTTGTATTGTTTTTCATTTTAGTGTTTTTGGGCAGTATCAACTTATGAGACATGGATTGTACAAGTTTTCATTTTGTATCTGTTTTTTTTTTTACCACAACATTGTTTTACAGTAAAAAAATAAGATAGGTACCTACTGTAGTACAAAATATTTATTTGAATATTATTTGTATACAAAATAAAGTAAGTTGTTGTACGTATTCTTTTTATTTTTACTTCTAACAGTCATACATAAATTTTTGTTAAATATAAAGACGGTAATTTTTGGCAACATTTAGTTGGTCCTTAGACTCATAGAATCCACATTAATATTAATAAATCAATCATTCCATTCCATTGCATTTGTAGCCACACTCCCCCCCCCCAATCTTACATACATCAAACACCCATTAAACCTCCCCCCCCCTTAGAAAAATAATGGAATACAATTCCAACCCTAGTTTAGCAACGTTACAATCAATTGTACCCTTACAAAATCAGTGTGTGGCATTTGATCTTGTGTGTTAAATGTACAAGTATGTATGTGAAGGATAGTCTTACTCTGAATGTACTGTATTTGTCTCTCTTTCCATGTACATTTCTGTCTATTTCTTCTGTAGCTGTTTGCTTGATGAAATGACGTATGGGGGCGGGTAAGTGGAGTCCTTTCAAAGTAGATCACGTAGGGGTAAATTGTAACGTGCAATGTGTGTGTGGCTGAGTAAATATATATGCTTGCGAGTGTATATGTTTACGCGATAGCATTGTACCAGCAATTTCAGGTATTAGTGTAAACAGTTAATATTTTTGACAATTAATATTTTTCTTAAGGTATGTTTAAAAGTATGACACATCTTACTTAAAGTTATTTTAAATAAAAAAAAATAGAAAAATGGTGCCAAAAAAATGTTACTACAGTCGAACATAACCAGCTGGCTGGACAGCAGCAAACGTACTGAACTGGCAGTGAGCACACCTAGGGGCTGAAACATGTACTATGTAAGCTCCACCAAAGTCAACACTCTGGTTATTTTTGGGCAACCCCTCATACTTATGTCTACAATCCAAATTATTTCTGGAGTAAAAGTTACGTTTGGACCCTAGGCCATGATTAATTTCTCGTTATAAACTGGGTTATCTTGGCTTCGTTGATGTAGTAGCAGCGACGCCAATATTTCTTAATCTATTTATTTTCACACACATTTTCACATTAACATTTTTACATGAGATGGGCAGTAAAAACCTTTAGGACAATTACATGTGCACGTATGAGCGGGTTCAGGTCTGCGGTGAAACTCACAAGTGTAAAAGGTTTCTGATTTATTATCTGTCTGTTAAATCTGTTAGCATCTTGAACTAAAATGACTAAATTAAATGTTCTCTACCCAAGAGTAAGTATTATGTAATTTTTCATCACCAAAATGTTAGGCACCTTTGACGATAAAATAGTTTCATAAGACTCTGGTATTTCTCAAATTTCCTTTGTAACAATCAGTAGTGATTTTTGTGCATTTTGTTGGTACAGCATGACCTCAATTTAATACCAAACCTCGTTGAGAATTTTATTGGTAATCTAATAGAAGCGTATCTAAAAATAAAAGTATAAAGTGATCTGATAAAAAGATAGGGCATTTGCCAGGAATTACTAAGGAAATTGACAGGAAAGCAGGCTTACCTTTAAATAAGTCCATAGAGACACATAAAACATCACAAAAGTAAAAGTAGAAATTTTTGTGGTCGAACCACTGGAGATCTAAAGTATAAAGTGAAGTATTGTCTCCATCATGGGTAGGTAGCATACTTACAGCACACTCATACTGTATTTATAACTAAAGAAACATATATTTTCTATGTGATAAGAAATTAAATTTTTTTATTGGAAAAGTCGGATAAATACAGGTTGGTAGTTTTCACAGCATTTCGCTCTGGAGATTAAACTAAACTTTTACAGACATACATATTCTCTTTAGTTCTAGCACAGAGAAGTAAGTTATAGATGAAACACGCTTATTGGATGTCCAAATGCCTTTAGCTCTATTTTGTGTCTGAAAAATACATGTTAGAGGAATATCCTGAGCAAGCACTGTACAACAATTCCTATCGCACAGGGCACAGGGTCTTCCTCCACCGTGAGCCTTGTGGTGGTGTTGGACTTTCCTCTAGACACCAGCGACTAGTGCAAGACACCACTTAAGTGTACCATTGAGTGTTTCCTCTGTACCTTACTTCTCTGTGGTTCCATTAGTTCCAAGAGGTCAACGCTCCATCTTCTCCAATCCCCTGTTCCTCCTCTTTGACATTTTGCTATTTCTCTCCTCTTTTCCACATTTATTTCCACGTTTTCCGTCTTCCAAGGTGTCTTTTCTCAGTCTACTTTCTTTTATTACCATCAGATAACATCAACAAATAAAGCATATAAAGGTAGGTTTTGTATAAAGCATATTCTGATTTTTAAATCCACCCAGATTTTTTTGCTATTCTGGATTTTGTGATCTAACAGCAGTTCCAGTGGTAATTATGAAGGTTTGACATGTGTCTGCGGGCTTCCATTGCTAAACACTTTAGTACAGGAAACATTGAATTTGTTTTAGTAGCTTTATTCAATGAGTAATATACCACATGTCATTTACCGTTCAATATAAAAATACTTGATTTGATAGTCCTATCACATTCCTTAAGAGAAAGTTGACTTAGTCAACAAGATGTTGTCAAATTGTCTTTTTATCAATGGTAATCAGGTGATCCAGATGTGTTTCCTTGTATTATGTTAAAAATGATATTTAGCTTCAACTGGGGTTCTTGAGGTTGTAATCATTCAAATCTTGGGTGTTTTATTGATTTGTACAGTTTAGACCTCTCTAAAACATCCATTATTTCCCTTATGACAGTAATGTGACTTTAAGATCTAGTTTGCTGGTGTCAAAAATATTGTGAATAGGTACTGTTGATAACAGTTTTTAAGGTATCGTGCAAATTTTGATTTGGAAGATGGGATTTACTAGGTCTATTACAAAGAATTGTACACCTTTTTAGCAAATTTCCCTCATAGGGAATAAGCTATTAACTATTATTATCCCTTCTCTTAGACCATCACATTTCTCCAGCTTGTTACTCCTTCTTTCCCATACATTCCATATTTCTCATGAGTAACTATTTGCCTATAATTTGTTTTATACATTTTGTCTTAATCAGTACCATTCAACTTGAAGGACATTTGTCTGGAAAATATATCAACATTCAACTCATTGAGGGATTTTGAGGATTGAGGAAGGAATGTGATTCGCTGTGTACGCCTGTTAGTTAGTGTCATGTACTTGTTGTAGTGCATATAATTCCAATCATACTATCACTGTACTTGTGTCAATGTTTAGGGCATCATTGCATGGTACACAGTTGACATGTAGCCTTGATTATGTTGTTGTGTAAGTAAGTGAATTGTCTAATACTTTCAGATTTTCCATATAGGAGGAGGTTAAAAATAAGCTATTTTAACAATCATCTTACTATAAACCATAGGTAACAAAATTGTGACTTTCGTTTGGAAAGGCAATTTTAATTGGTGTTGGTTGTGAAATAACATTGAAAATCTTTATGGTTTCAGGAATAAATTAAATTTCCATCATTGACTTGTTAAGCTACTTAATGTCAACGACAGCTTTTTGAATGTCACATGTTTAATTTATCTTTTAAGCATGTTATAACTGGAATTAATCTATTTCCACTTATTACTTTTTAATGTCTTTTTCAGCTATTGTGGTGGTTATTTCTTGCTCCCCTTATCATATAAAATTTTGTATACCTAAAACGTCTACTGTTAGGTTTTTTTAAAAATGTTTTTTGCAATAGACGCAGGAATGCTAAGAAATACCTATGTATTTCTACAAAGGGGGTGGGTTGTATTGTTATCGACATATAGGCCTACAGGCCATATATATATATATATATATTATATATATATATATATTATTATATAGGCCATATAGGAGTTGTTTCACCATATAACTCGTTAAGACTAAAACCATGTCCTGATATAAAACAAAATACCACGTTATTCAAATATTGTTTATACAATATGTTTTAAACTATTCCATAGGACAATCCGACCTTCATCTTATACAGCTTATTGGTTTTTAGCAATACAAATTTTCAAACCATTTTTTAAATATATTTTTTGGTAAAACCTTTCCAGGAAGTCATTGGACTGTATATTAAATAAAATCAAATTTTAAATAATTTATTTCATTCCTACAAAAATAACCTAATTTATGAGATACACTAATATAATGGTTCAAACCTAGCTCACTCATAGGATTTCCATTTGGTTTCCTAAACTTTAAGTATTTATCATGCAACTGTTATTGTTAACCTTACTGAATGTGATTATTAGATATATCGGAGAGAGTCGTAGAGATCGAGAGCAGATGGATCCGTCTCCCAATCCGATCATAACAGTGACGGAGCACACGCCTACACCGTCTCCAGACTACTTCCGCAGAAAGGTAAAGCTCAAACCTAACCTAACCTAACCTAACCTTATATTGAGGCCTCGACCACAGAGGGATAATGTACCGAGGAAACTGTATGGGACATCCGTGCAGCTGTAGTGCCTCCTGTTTTGCAGGAAATATACTTTTGATGAACAAGGAAGAGCCTGAGTAGTGAGCCCTGTGCGGAAATTCCTATCACACAGGGCACAGGGTCTTTCTCTATTGGAAGTGTTGTAGTACATGAGAGAACGATGGACGGTGTTGACCTTGCCCTAGACAACAGCCGTCTCTAGGGCAAGTGCTCGGAACCTATGCACTATTGAATGTTTTTCTCTGTACCTACGTCTCTGTTACTGGCCACAATTTTGATTTTATTAAGGACTCCTTTCTCTAAATTAGTTTAATTTAAACTTAATACACTTTAAACTGTGACTAAACCAAGGATTGCTTTCCCTGCTGTTTTTTGATGGAAGTTTAGTGTAACCAGGGTTTTCTTTGCAAGCGACTGAGTTGGCAACATTGATATGCTGTTTTGTGTGTAATATCATTAGTTTCACTTTGACACTTTAGATTAGGCACACAAAAATGATCTATTGGAAATATCAGTTATTATATCTAAGACAAAGGTTGTAATGGCTCAAGTTTGCTACGCAGGGTTCCATCGACAGCCAGCTAGATGCGGCCAGCTTGAAGGTAGATCAAGAACGCAAGCCGAGTCTCACTCGCTCACAGACAGACAGCAACATAACCTATACAGCTGAAGAAACACCCGAAGCCTCTGGTTGTACTTATTACATCACCAAAGAGGGGAACATAGACCTTCATGTCGTCCTCAAGGTAAACTGGACAAGTCATACTAACCAGGGTGTGGTTGGCTACTGGCTGTTTGTTTAGTACAGAAAGCAATTGTCAATTTTAAGAAATAGATTTAGTACGCAGTTGTAGGATTGAACACAGCAGTTCATCAATTCATGTAAATAAAAATTGTCCCTTTGAACTGAGATAGTCTTTAAATTCCAACAAATTGATTGGAAAAATAAGTTAACCGAAACTTGGTTTTATTGTTCAGGAAACCATGGTATATCTCAATAATCCAAACTAGGTACTTAACCTAAAACTAAAATGGTCTAAAATCTTCAGCAAAACAAGATAAAATAATCTACCTGCAACTAAAAAATACTCCCGCCGCAGCAAACCTGCAGACTGCAGACTAAGCAAATTTCCATTTACCTGATTGGATTTTGACTAAAATATTCCCTTAAAATTGTCAGTTTTTTTTCTACTTAAATTACATATATTATTTTAGGTATGGTTTGCTACTACAGGGGTAATAAAGTGTTTCAGGATAATAGCTTTGGATGAAATAAACAAATTTGCTGAATAATGGATGAGGAAGTAACAGGTGACAAAAATAACAGTATTTACTTCACCTGTTACCGGCAGCTAAGGAACGTTTGTGAGTATTACTGCAGTAACGGTATTTACAGGCCGTCCATTCAGTGGTGCTGAGAGACAACGTGTGCTGCACGCTGCGTGTGTGTGAAGTTGTGTTCAACCTGCTAGAGCTGCTGATAGACATGGGAGTGCTGAAGACTCATCAGCCCGCAGACAACGGCAGTGATCACGACAACCCTCCTCCTGAACCTGAACCTCCCAAGGTCACTAGCAAGGTCGAGACTCCTCACGGGTTCGTCATGAACTGTGTCATCAGGTATGAAGTTAGAGACTGGAGGGTAAATACATAAATAAGAGGTTTGCCTGTAAATGATGCGTCGTCATAGCTTAGCTCAAATGTGAGACCAAAATCGCGTTCCTTACACATCGTCACGTCACAGTACTATTATAATACAGTAGTATAATAATGATGTGTCTTAACCGAATCTCAAATCTCAAAACCATCAAAACTTTGGAAAAGTTTCGGTTTCGAGATTCGATCACATAGTTTCGAGATTCAAAAGTTTTGAAATTGAAGATTTTTACAGTATTATTTTTGAAAATGGTGACATTTTTTGTCATTATTATTGTTAATAACACTGTTTCCACACAAGCTCGTAGCAATAGAGCAAACATATCACAGTCAACAGTAATAAAACAAGTAAACTGTATTCTGAACCTCAAAAGGCACCTTAAATACTATAATTTGAACAACGTACGTTTCAGTTTCATATCAATATTTCATAACACAAAGAAATATTGACTACTAAATGTTCTAACTAATCTAATACTCATGTTTATGTTGGTGTTAGGGGTTTAGTTTATTTTAATGTTGGTTGTTTATAAAAAAAATATGTTGTATTCAAGTTCAGGATATCAGACAAATATTTATGATATGTCAGTGTCAGGAGTCGGATCTCTTTAAGTTTTGACTGCATACTTAACATTTTTTTATTACCTGTATTTTTTGTAACCGTCACCTTTGTAACCAGCTAAGTAAAAAAGTTTTGCGTTTAGGTTTTGAGATTCGAGATTCGGGATTCGATTTTTGAAAGTTTCGGTTTTGGTTTTGAGATTCAAAATTTCTGGTTTTGACGATCACTACTAGAAAACATTGTGAAAGAAAATTTACGCTCCCGCCGAATATGTATCGTGTTCTGTGATGAGTTTTCTGTAAGAAGAGAAACAATCCTTGTTGATTATGGTTGCCAGTTGACAGATGTGTCTGCATAAGTGTTTTGACGTAGTACATGTGCATAAGTGGTTTAAAGAGACTGCAGAAGGTACTTTTTGCTCAACCGGGTTGGCGGCAGGTGTTTGGATCCCATGCCCACTGAACCTGCTGGTTGGTGCTGCCTGTAATCTTCGGTACTCCTATAGAGACTTCCCCTATTAATTCCACAATATTTTTAGTTCTTTTTTGTTCAGTCAAACCATGATCCAAATGCTAAACTCGTAACTTTGATCACTTTTTTAAACAAGACAAATGAATTAGCCATGGAAAACATCGTGCACATTTTTAAAACCATCTCCTAACTACCTCCTTGTTCACATTTTCTATGTCCAAACATGTTACTCCATTCACATTCATCAACTGGCAATAGACTTTGGTATCAGTTGACGTACGAGACTAGAAAAATATTATTGTGATTCATAATCAGTGGGAGCGTCAATTTTCATTCACATGTCTTCAAAGATTGTGACGAAACTAATCGTCCCTTAGGAGTGTAGGTATAGGTGTAGAGTGAGGTCCAGATATAATAGCTTTTTTTGTTTTTTTTTTTCCTAAGACACTAGGCACGAGCCCGGAATTTTTTTTCACATTACTTCAGGCTAGACCTAGGGGTTACGGCATTATCACTTGGATAAAATCCATTAGTTATTTGGCAGGATTTGAACCCGGGGCCCCAGGAACCGGAGTCCCGCGCTTGACCAGCTCGCTCCCCCCAGATATAATAGTAGGATGAAAAGTAAGAAACACAACATTAGTCTCAGATTTCAACTAGTCACTAGTCAGCATAGCTGCAATAAGAACTTGATGTAGATTTTATAATAGGAAGCACTCTTGTACAAATAAAAAAACTCATGATCAAGCGAGTAACAAGCTAATATTTTCACAGGGTGCTTCGTCATCTGGGTTGTCCCCACGGGTGTACAGAAGGCCAGCGTGGACCTCCCATAGACTTCTTACGTTCTCAAGGTCAGAACATCCTTGGTAAGCTGCACCGCGCCGGCGCCAAACAGTTTGGCCGCTACCTTCGTCACATGGTCAACACGGACTCCATACCTGAGATTCTGGATTTCTTTCACTCTTATGTCGGCTTCTGTGTGGACCCTAGCTCTTTGCTTTCCCCTCTGAGTAAGTGTAAAAAGTTTTTTTTTTTTTTTTACAGCTAATTAGTTGGGTTTACAGAAAAGTTTGTAAATTAGAGATCTTCGAATGTTTATAGACTTGCGGGTTTTTATAGAATCAATACTTGAGATGTAAATATTAAATTCTCTTAAATTTATGATTTGATTTTCTATTTGATACAGTAAATATATTTCACTACTACAATATTTCTCAATACCTGACAAAATTAAATTATACTCTTTGTTTCTATTTCCAATCATTGTACCGGTACTCTATGTATTTGTTGTTACAGACCAAAAACGCAGCTGCAGCAAATCACCTGATGTCGGTACGCAAGGAGGTTACGCCACAAACTTTGGCGCAGGTCTTGGTGGGGGTGGGCGCGGCGTAGAAGGACAGATTATGGTTAACATCTTCAAGGCCCTAGTGACACGATTGGTCAAGTCTAACAAAGATTTGAAGCTTCCAGAAAACATGGTGAGTGCAACCCACTGTTCACATTTGATAAAATTATGTTAGGAAAACAGATTTGCTGAAAAAAGTTTAAGTAAATAAAGATCAATAAAATAAGGTGTGTTGCTAGCTAGCCTGGCGGTCAGCGTCTTAAGTTTGGTAAAAGAGGATCATAATTCATCTACAATTTTAAAAGGTTTTGTTTGACTGCTTTCCATTAAAATTGTTTTAGATACATTCCTTTAAAAGGTCTTATCAGATCAATAATTCCCGTTCTAAAAGGAATTTAAGTCCAGTATAAAAGAATGTTAGCTCAATTATCACTGAGGTTGAATGCTAATGAAATGTTTTGGTGAAATGGTGAAAATATTTTTTTTGTTACACTGCTCAAAAACATTTTCCTTAATACATGTGTTGTGGGGTCTAAAGCAGCCCTTCTCCCTATGGAGGGCCTAAAAAGGGTTTTTAGTCCCTTGGGAGTAAAAAACGGTTGCATTCTTGACAAAGTTCGTTAGTACTAAACAGCTGCTTGTTTGCAGACTCTGTATTGTGATGTGAGACAACTGATGACCTACGTAAAGGAAGCGCACGGAGGAGTGTTTAGAAGAGTAGCATTGAGTGGTCTCATAGACGTTGCTATCAAACCTCATCGCAAGGAGCCCAAGGCACAGACCACCAGAGTTATCAGGTAGGAAGGTCTATCATTCACTATAAATACCAAAGACATCCTGCTATACGGGGCTGGTAACGTAAAGAATAGCATGTTACAACCTCTTGCTTGATCACAGCACCATCGTCATGCAGTTTTTGGAACCTTAGTCAGATGCATTTCAGGTCATTTTCCGTCCTGTCTGTAGAAGCCATGAGTCACGTCATTCCTATCTGTCAGTAGCCACAGTCTTGGCCCCGCCAACTGATCTCTGGGGTCGATATAAGCTATGGGCTAGCAGGGGTCTTAAAAATCTTATTTTATACCTCAAAATAAGAAAAGTTGATAGAAACATAGGGATGGGAAACCTTTGTAACCGAGTTAGTGGCAGAGCAAACAGGTTAAATTATTACAACATTGATATTTTTGTTAGTATTAGTTTAGCATAATATCATTATGAATATCTGAAAAGTTAAGTTAAGTTGCGTGAGTAGTCTGAAAGTTAGTTATTAAGAAAAGTTAAATTTGCAATTGAATATTTGATTCAATTTTTTTAGGAAATAAACTTTAGAAAGGCGTTTTCTGTAAATGTATTCAAGGTTTTGGAATTAATTTTTTAGGGGCATTCCTATGTAAGTTTTGTAGTAATATTTTTTCAAGATTTTTTACTGTAAAACATATACTTTGCTGTAATTAACAAAGCGAACTGTGATTTACCAATTATTTTCTTATAAGCTGTACTTGAATGTTTTGTGAAAGTTACCTGTGGGTGTTACCTGTTTATGTATTTACATCTTCAGTGTAACTTGTTCACAGGCATATTCCACACTCAGAACAAGACGACCAACTAAACGGTGGTTCTTGTTACGTAATGGACGATCGAGACGCAAGAAAAATATTGTTTAAGAAGAGGAGCACTTCATCCACATGTGCTGTAAGTTGCAGTTCATATACGTATCTGTAGCTGTGTATTCTCTATTATGTTTCTTGTTGTTTATAATAGTAATATTGTAAGGTGTTATTTTTTGGGTGGGTCAAAATTGACATCTTATAAGCCTCGGTTGTGCTTAATTAGGTGTGTCCAGGGTTCAATTGTGCTCGAATCATTCAATCATTCATATATTAGCCATCATCATCCTCAGATCATTTAATCATTCATTTATTGGTTATCATCATCATCATCCTCAGATTATTTAATCATTCATTTATTGGCCATCATCATCCTCAGATCATTCAATTATTCATTTACTAGCCATCATCATCCGCAGATCATTTAATCATTCATTTATTGGCCATCATCATCATCCAAATTGAAGCTTCAGACCCATGGTGAATTTTCATAATGGCATGTCAATGTATTTGTGAACCATTTTTTGAACGTGTTGTGTATTGATGATTAAATTTATTTTTTATAAATAATTGCTGATTACTCTTAAGTATACCAGAATTTTGTGGGTGTAAAATGAAAGCATTGTTAAATTGCATATGTTTCATAAAACGGTCTGCATGTGAAATCGTGATAAAGTACTGAAATATTTAAGTAAAAAGTCCTTAAAATGGTTTAGTAAACTAATTAAAACTTTGACACCGTGTGAAATTTTACCCCGAATGAAACTGACAAGTTATTTAGAATAAATCCGAAATATTGTGTTTTTCCAGAGCCTTTTGGAGTCTGAGCTGTGTGATGAGACGGGCAAGATGGTTCAGAGTCCGTTGAGTAATCTGCGCAAGAAGCATCCCTACCATGTCCTGACACCTCGGCAGAGTGAGCGCAACTTGGGAGTGTCGGACAGTCCTCACATGTTGCCGTTAAAGGCCAACCAGACTTCACGCTTCCAGATCGGCGGCCTTGGTAAAACTTATAATTATTTGCTTATTGTTAAGTTTTTAAGTTCCATCGTTTCATCCTGGGACACTAGGTTCTAGCTAGGACGGTTTTCATTACTTCGGGCTTGACCAAGAGGGTTGCTGGATTCTCACTTGAAAATAAACCATTAGTGATTGGTGGGATTCGATCCTTGGACCTTGGGGACTGAAGTCCTAGGCTCTCCCACTAGACCAGCTTGCTTCTATAAATTCTCACTGTTTAATTGGAATTGGGTCTCCAAATTCAAACATAATCTACAAAGTGTTCTCATGCTTTGGTTGGAGTTCCTGTAAATTAATTAAATTCAATTAACAGTTTGAAGTTGAGGATGTAACACATAGTACAAAGGGTAAGATTTTTCAGGATACGGTACTTGGTGAGGATAGCATGCTTACCACTTACCTGAATGGAAAAGAGTCTAACCTGACACAAGACAGCAGTCAAATGGTTCTGTCAAGATCTTAGTTAATCAGAGACTATCTGACTCTGTATGAATGAATCGTTTGAAGGAGTTGAGGATCTATTTTTTCTGCAGTGAACTGATTCTGTGAAAAATACAGTTTTTTGTCAAGAAAATCCCCTGACTATCAGTAAATTATGTTAAGGAGTTAATGATCTATTTCCCGCTGTGAACTGGTTCTCTCAAGAACTCAGTCGATCAAAACTAGCTTGTATCAGTGAATCATTTTAAGGAGTTGATGATCTGTTTTCCGCAGTGAACTGGTTCCGCCGAGAGCATGGTAGGTCAGACTCGCTTGACAGTCATGACGGGAGTGACTCCCCGGTGGAGGGAGGAGCTTTGGTACATCAAGCAGCAGCTCTCCATCACTCTTATAGCAAGACTTCACAGAAAAGCAGTGGAAGGTAGGTGTAATTAACTAATCACAAATGAATATGATATCGTTAAGTTTTGTTTTTATATATGACTGTTCCATTGATGATTCAATTTTCCTATGATTGAAAAAGCTATCATTAAATAAAAAATACTGAAGTTTAAATAGAAGAATGAATATGCAATTAACTTACAAAAAAAGAGTTCTAGGTAGTTGAAAGTACACAAACAAAGATCACAACACAATGAACTTGATATTTCGTTTAAGCCCTTATAAGGAGCTTATTTAGTAGAAAGAAGTTGGATCTTTTTTGTGTGTTGTCAACTAGGCCTAACTGGAAATCTTTTCTCCGGTAAGTTAGTTGTGTATTCATTCCTTATTCCTTAATATAATATTAAGGAAAGCCAAGTGATTTTTCTCCAAAAAAACTGGAGTGGAAATTAAATTAATATTTTTTCAAGGGATAGTCTTCAGCTAGTTCACAGTTAACCATTACCATTTCTGTTTTGTAGTGTGGGTAACACCATACTACGTGCAAGGCGTAGAGTCGAGGATCAGATCAACAAGTTTGGTTTTGGAAAAGGGAAGAAGAAAGACGGAAGTGTGGAAGAGACACAAGGCAGTTGTGAGTTAACTTTGACTACATATATGTTCAACTGTTTTAGGCTTAGACAAAAAAAAGCTGCATATGTAGGCTTACGTACACATAAAATCACAGAGAAGTAAGGTCCAGAGGAAACTTGCTTATGGGACGACAGTTAGCTTTTAGCTCTAGTATGTTGTGCCGGAAATATACTTGTGACGAGCAAGGAAGAGCCCCAGTGGTTAGAACTGTGCGGAAATTCCTGTCGCTTATACCTTCCTGTTCCTCCAACGTGAGCGTTGTAGTAGATGAAGGCGAGGGGGTGGTTTTGGACATTGCCCCATACACCACTGAGTGTAGGCTGTAATTTTTTCTTCTTTTTTTGATTAAGTTATAAAAACAATTATACAACCAATTTATACAAACAATAAACTGAAGAAGACTATATAGATTTATATGGACCAGCTATTTTTTTATCTGAAAGATAATAGTTTAATAAGCCAGTCACAGTTTGTGCTAGTGTTAAAATTATATTGTTCACCTTATATTTGGTTATTGAAACAGCTCATGTGATAGAAGATGCTATATCTTACAATGAGTCATCCTATTAGTTGACTTGGTAAACAAAACTGCATATTCAACAGAAACCAGTAATTAATATCAGCGCAATCTGTCGGTCGCTTGATTCAACTACGTCCATTTTGATTCAAACTAGTGGCAACATTAACATGGGGAAGCAATGAGTTGTTTCTATATTAGGTTTCGTCCATTTCAGACCTGAGCAGACGTAACTCGGTGGAAACCGGAGAACACATCGGGGACTCGGAGTTTGTTGTGTTGAAGGAGCGCAAACTCGTACCCACTCTGCCAGTGTTCAACGGCATGCTGCGTCTGTCCTTCCTACTAGAGACCTGTCCTCCGGGCACCATCCCGGACCCCTACCTGCTGACGGCACTCATGGATCTGGTACGTACAAAGACTCATGAAAAGCCATCTGAATCAGAGTTTACATACTGATTGATCTTTAAGGTAAAATAGTTGGACTTTTCGTATTGCCAGTGTTTATTATGCTAGGTTTCAGAAGGTAAGGGAACTCCTTTTTTTAAGTGACTCTGAGTTATTACCCTACATTTATCTAACCTAACCTAAAAAGGGAGGAGTTTCGCTATCTCCCGAGTTCCGAAACATTGTGTTGTTTGGAAACATTAGCAATAAGAAAAGTCCAACTATTTTACTTTAAAATAAAATAAATATCCTATGGATAATGAACTTTTAAAACAAACTGATTAATATTCCTTTGAGTGTTATAAAATATTTGAACATTCTCACATTATGTCAGTATGTATGCTGTGAGAGGCTGTCTTTGATACAACTTTAGATAATGACCATTTTAATTGTTTTAATGACAAAAGTTAAAATTAATAGCACACATGTACTACCAAGAAATTAAATCTTTTAAAGCTAAAAACAAATTTTAAAAATGAAGAGAGCTTAAAAAAGTTTAGTTTCAAATAAAATTTACATCTTTTTAACTAGTCACAATTTCACTTGATGAGTTTTTCAAACCAATGACTCTTAAGATAATCATGACTATAATGTGTGTTACTATTGGAATTACCGGATACCGCGGCAAAGTCTTGAATATCTCAGCGATTGCAGCATCATCACCTTCTCCCCAATCGCAATTTAATTATTGTGTAAACGATCAACCGGAACTAACATTTTCTATAAATTCTCAGTTTTTTTTTCTTTTACTAATAACCAGTAAAGCTGACATTCGACCCATCCTAAACTTATAGTATACTATGTTCTACAATTATGTGACATACTCAAACTCTGTACATTCACTTAACTATTTTTCTAAGCCTGGAGCTCCAGTGGTGGCCAAGGCTTGTTTCCTACTCGAATGCTGCTACTTTGTCCACTCGTGTAACAAAGGCCAGTGGCCTGCGTGGATGAAGCTCAACTTTCCCATGTTCCGGCCGTCCGGTCCACTGCCCAACCGTGGCGCGCCTACTGGACAGAAACGGTCTCACATTCTGCAAAGGGCTGCGGGCAAAATGTTCTACCAGTGGGGAGAGGTGAGTAGTCTTCCAAGGTGATGTGTAAATAATTTTGAAAGAGCGTGTATGACTTCTTCATAAATTATTCGTTATTTGATTTAGTATTGATGACGAATAATGGAATATATTATTTGAAATATATTGAAATACAAAAGCAAATTTGAGTGATTTAAACAACACCATGAAATGTTATTGATAAAATAAAAGGATTACCTTATCCAACCACAGTTGCTGGTATGACAACTAGTTTCGTTCCTTAGAACTTCGTCAGGTCATTGTATGCAACCACATCATCCATGTATTACATATGGTATGTCAGAAGATTCTTTAAAACACTGTCAGAATCACAAGAGTCAAAACTAGTCATGTTGATCAAATTATTAAAATGGAATAAAAAGTGATAAAACTGGTTAAAACTGTAAAGGCTGGCCAGCACTGTCTTATCACTGTCACTGGCTGAATAAAACTGACTGAATCATGAGATTTTTTCTTCTCTCCAGTGCCACCTGTATTTCAGTTTGTTTTGTTCTTCTTATATTATACTTTGATTTGTAGCCTGTCAATATATGCATCAAATATAATATTTGACTGGAAAGAAGTCTGATCATTTAAAATGTTAAATGGGTCAATTTTTTTAGCTTTGTAGATGGCTCTGAAATGCTATTGTTTTCCTTTGTACGTAATGAATAAAAAATGGGGTACTTTTGTAAAAAATACTGTTCAAAACTTAAAAGTCATATGTCTTTAAAGATTACAAAAACCTTGATAACTAAGGAAACATTTATAGCCTTCAGAAATGTTTTGTTCTTAAAGAGTTTTAAAAACATATACTTTTGATTTATTTATGTTTTTGTGTATCAGTCCAAGAGGAAAACAGTATTTGTCATTTTCTGACAATTTAAATCTTTTTCACATCAATAAACACATTTTCTTATTTGAGAGATTTTAATGAGGTACCTCAAGGTCTGATGATACTAAATGTGTAAATTGAACATGATTGGTTTGACCACAGGCGCTCGGCAGCCGGCTGGAGGAGATGATGGCTGAAGACAAGCAACACATCTCAGCCGTCATCAATCTGATGGTGGACGAGAACAAGCAGAAGCAACTGCTCATAGAAGACGAGGAGGAAAACTTCCTTGATGAGTGTATGTTGACAGTTTTATACATCATAGACAAATTTCATATCAAGACCTTTTTTTCAAGCATGTGGTTGATAGGTGTGAGGATTATCGCTTTCTTCAAAAGCTTATGTTCCTTATAGATAGTAAAATTCCAGTTTTTTTTTTTTTTTTTTTTTAAAGAGGTTGGCGGCCTCTTTTAACCTTGCATTTGCCCGTCCACATAGACTAAGCGCCCGTGCGTGGATCGTTTACAGCAAAGCAAGGAGTGAGCCGGTACAGTACAAAGGTGAACTGTACTGATAAAATGTTATCGGCAGTGACCAGGATCCGAACCCACGACATCACTGCCCTGGGCCCGAAGTCCGCGACGCTACCGACTGATCCACCGACTCACTAAAACCAAACTTTTTATAATTGTTTGAAAAAGTGAAAAAAGTAAATTCTATGTATACAAATACAAAACAACTTTACAGTATTTTCTCATTGCAGCATGCCTGTTTGCATACGGTGCCGAGTGTCCTATTGCTCTGCGTCTTGTGGCGTGCACGCTGCTGATGGAAATCACCGCATTCTTGCGTGAGACGTACCAGAGTCTACCCAAGTCTTGCCGCAGCTCCGCACGGGATCGGCCACCGCCTTGGGAGCGAATGTACACTGCGTCAACAGCCAACCGTCGGTGGAGCATGGCACTGTCCAGCATGGGCCATTCACAGACCTCTGCGCAGAGTCTGCAGTCCATCGCAGGCGATAAGGACGCAGGTAAATCTCTATGTACAGAACGTCGACTTTCTCTCTTCGTGTACTCATGAGACTATTTTATTGTCGGTTTTGATCATGTTGGTGTTGTCTGGGGGTTTCGCATATTGTGTGGTTGTTTCGGATTAAGTTTGCTCGATGTACGACTCTACTGATGATTTTGGAAAGGAATGAATTTCAGCTTATCTGAGAAAATGAATTGTCACAGGGGTTACAGATACACAAAATACTTAGCCTATAAAACTCTGAGAATTGGTCTTAGTGTAGATTAAAAATAATAATCGCTCCAGACAAAAAAACTTTTTACTCTAACAGTTTTTCAAAATTTGAAACTCCATTTGCAATATTCAGATTTGAAAAAGTGAAGAATTCAGTGCAAGAATTCAGAATTCCTGAGGTGTAAGATTTCCAGTTAGCTTTCTTTTCTGACCCTAAAAAAACATTATTGAAAAAAAAACTATTAAATACTACCTAAAAAAGTATTTTTAACCCTTAAATTCAACAACTTTATCTTCAAAATTTTTAGGATAGGCCTAAACTACTTTCTAAGAAACACTGAAATACTTAAGATATGTGAAAATCAATCATTTTATTTATTGAGGGTTTTCCCATAGTGATGGAAGAAAGGGACTGAATGCATTCATAATCACATATGAGTAGATTGTTATTAATTAGCGTTTCTATTTGAGCCTTGTAATTTCACTTGAAATTCAAAAACCCAAGTGTCTACCAGCTACTGACACTAATGATTGTGCTGCCTTCGTTGCGCAGTTGTCACTCAATAACGCTACAGCACATTCCCTTATGACAAAAGTCATAAAATTGTGCACTATTTTTCTTCTGATTCTGATTCCACAGTCCTATTGGAAATTTCTTGTTTATTTCATAGTTACCACCTATCCCTCAATGCATCCATAAGATTTTGGGCCATTACTCCTCCTATCTGATTCCACAGCCCTTCTAGACATTTCTTATTGTTCCCATAGCGTCCACCTTTTCCTCGATGACAGAGCCTTACGACTGTACAACGGATGGCATGAGCGTTCACTCACTGCAAGTTCAGGTACCGAGTAGCAACTTGCTACAAATGCCTGGTGAGAGATATCGAACGCGAAGTGTTCTTATTCCACGTACAACACCGCGACCTTCGGCTGCCGGTAAACCATGTTATGTTTAGCAACACTCTTTGATTTGCCGTCTACACACACACAGGTAGTACCACCTTCACATACTAGGACGTAGGAGCCGGAAACTTACACACGACACGGCTAAGGCTACATGGTTGTGGCAGTATGTATTAGATAAAATCCATTGATGATTGGTGATATTTGAACCCTTGACCTTGGGGACTGAAGTCCTGCACTCTACCACTAAAACGGCTCCCTACCACACACATATGGTGTAGCTAGTAATCATTAATCAATTAGGCCTACCTTAGCGTTTTGAGTTTGGACGTATTTTGGCAGCTGATTAGAGATTACATCTGGATGTGAATTTTTTGGGGGGGAATTATCTAATAACCTTTGGGAAACCAATAACCATCAACACTATTTAAAACAATTTCAAGGGCAAATACTATATATTAAAGATAGCCTTATTGATTTAAATTTATTCTGAATGGTTCATGATTTAATTCACTGTATTAAAAATAATTTGTAATATTCTATACACTTGAACTCATATTAAAACATCCTTTAATTTCAAAAGTTGTACCATGTTTTAAGTATACTGTGTATGAGGTCACATAAACTTGCAGGGTTCCTATAACAATAACATATCCCTTAATATTTACTATCCAACCATATAGCATTATCAAATCATTCACAACCAACTATGAATGATGTCTAGTCTAGGGATGATTGCACTTTTATCATTTCATTTGATATTTTGAACTGTTGATTGGAAAACTTTGTCATTTCAAGCATGGTCTGAAGACTATTTAACTTTTTCGCTCAACTTCATTAAATTTCGCACTAGTTCAATTGAAAAACGTTGTCGTTTCAAGCTACAACCATCACCTTTTTGCTAGTTTCAATACCCCCATTTAGAAATTTTCAAGTATACCATTATTTATATTTGTCATGATTCTATGCTCATTTACGTTTGGGACTCCAATAAATTTTATATTGTTTGGTAAAATTTCAGTAAATTTTCCTTTAGGGAAATAGCGATTACTGTAATCCTCGTGGTAAGGTAATAATAACCATTCTTGAGCAAATGAACAAGTCATACATTACGTTTTTGGAGGGAAAAGCAACTGGCTTAGGAATGATAAAGATTGGAATGGATACACGACTAACTTACTTTAGATAAGAGTATCAGGTAATTTAAATATAAAGAAAGCTAACAACACTATAAACTTGATTTTTTGCCCTATTAAGGAAGGGGCTTCTTCAGAAGAATGAATTAGAGTGGAATCCCACCCTACTTCTTTCTTCTGTTTCAATTTGGTGAATGCAACCAATCTTTTTGGTCGGGAATGTACATAAAAATCTTGTAAATAGATTTTATTTGTTGGAAGTAAGTTTTTGTGTTTGTTGACATGCATATACAAAGGCTACAGGTTGAAGATATACAGGGTGATTGATATAAGTGTGCCAGCCGTTTTATTCGAAAACCATAAGAGATATCAAAAACAGTCAAATGGTAAGTGCCTTGGACTTTTTATTAAAAAATTGTAGTAAAGACGAAAACATTATTTTAGCCGCCATTTTTCCAATATGGCCGCCAACTTAGATTTTTCTTATGGAACACCCTGTATTTTATGATGTATTCTGGTAAAAAATGTAATTTTAAGACGATTTTATTCTTGTGATTTTTTTCATAAACCTAACCGTTTCAAAGTTAATAATGGCTTAAGTTGTGGAATTTTGAATCGTTTTCGAATAAAACAGCTGGCATGCTTGCTTAGGCCTTTATCGAAACTCTTTCTCATGCAGAAATTTCAAAACTTTAACCATTATTATCCTTGAAACGGTTAGGTTTATAAAAAAAATCACAAGAATAAAATTGTCTTAAAATTACATTTTCTACCAGAATACATCATAAAATAGAAAAAAGGAATAAAAATAAATATAAAAATAAAAAATAGTAAAAATCATAAAAGGGTGTTCCTTAATAAAAATCAAAGTTGGCGGCCATATTGGAAAAATGATGGCTAAAATATTTTTTTTGACTTGACTACAATTTTTTAAATAAAAAATCCAAGGCACTTACCATTTAACTTTTTTTGATATCTCTTATAGTTTTCGAATAAAACGGCTGGCACACTTATATCAATCACCCTGTATATTAGCCAAGTGCATAACAATTTGGTAATTACTGGTAATTGCTGGGGATCGGACCCTTTAGCACCAAAGTAAGAGGTGCTAAACAAGGCTACCAATACACCATGTTTAACAATTCTAACTTTGAATTAATATCTCTATGAAAACTGTCGTATTTGTTGATTATTCCTGTAAAATAATTGGTTATGTTTTTGTAGTGTAATTGAAAAACATATTAATCCCAGTATTGGTGCTAAAATGTTTTTCATCCTTACCAAACAGAAAACATAATATTTAATGAAAATTTGTTTTTTCTGGTAGTTTACGGATTTTACTAGAGTTCTGCCAGTTATAGAGCAAAGTAACTTAAACTCATTACACAAGTAATGTTAAAACTGAATAGGTAGAAAAAGGTAAAATTTAAAAATACATCATTTTTGTTTATGAGTCTGTTGTTTTCTCTCATTATTTATTACAAACTCTCTTCTAGAAAAGCATTTTTTAAGGGATTTTAATTTTAAAACTTAGTAATTTACCTGTTTATGAATTAATAATTTTGCATTTGAAATTTGAACTCATAAATTTCACCGTTCAAGAAGTGTTACAGTGAATTTTGTCACAGACAAAAATAATTAAAGACTGCCAGCCTTGCTGCAGTTACCATGGTTACCATAGGTTCTGGCACACACCGCTGGGAGCGCCGTGTAGTTACATAGCACGTACGCCAGAACTACATGGCACTCCCAGGGGTGTGCGCCAGAACCTATTGTAACCGCAGCACGGCTGACGGTCTATATTTAATTCTTTTTGTCTATGATTCTTTTACCTTCACTCAGTACTTGTAACTAAAGTTAAACACATGATAACATTATTTAGTTTTCACAAAGAAACATTTAACATACCATAGTTAACCATTCTTTGTGGTTATCAAATCTAGTGTGAAGACAAAATAACCCATTAAACGGATCTTGGTAAGTTTCAAGACTAATTTCATTTTTACTGGTAAAACCAGTAAACTTAACAATTCATGGTAATTTTTCGTCTCGCTTTTGGTTTTCAACAGTGTCGGTTATTCCTCAGTTTATTTTATGATACTCGCAACAGTTAGGTTTCGCCTAAGTTCACCATTGGCACCAAACCGTAACATTCACAGCTACGTTGTGGCATGTTAGTTAGTTGTTTAGTACATGTCTCCCTCGTGTAGCATGTGTGTGTACTTTGTACCCCCTTTGGCGTTATGTGTGAGTAGTTTGAGGATATTGGGAATGCTGTGTGTAACGTAACGAAGAATTATCCCCACCTCTCGATGTTTTACTTTTCTACTGAGTTGTTTCCAGGAGTGTAAAAATTATTGTTTCTTTCAAAGGAAATGAAAATTATTTGAATTAGTATTTAAGTTATTTTATTCTATTGTTCTTGTGGACAGTTAACGTCTGCAAAATTGCAGGAAATAATTTTTTGAAGACGTATATGTGCAGTTTTATATTTTGAAAATACTACCTATTAAGATGTACACCAATGGGCGAATGTTGGCCGATGTGGTTGCTGTATTTTCCATTGTATTAGAAATATTGTATCTTACCAATAAATTTCCCCTTTTGAGCCATTAGCCTTTATTTATAAAAATGCTCTATCTAAACTGATTTATCAAATTTTTTTACTGTATTTTGTGTTCATTATACAGTGTGCTTTATAGTTTTACCAAATTCTGCACACATTGTTTTGTTTATTTAAAAAAAAACATATTACCCAGTTTAGGATGTTAATGAACTGAAGGATGTTGTTGGGTAGATGCTTTCAAAAAAAGAGGATCAGCTGGTGGGGAGAAACCGAGAGCGAGGAGCGTGACTGGACTGATAAGACAAAACTCTCGTCGTCTGTCATCCATGACTGGGATAAAGGGTAACACTTACATGCACACACGCACACTTGCACACTACAATGTTTGTGATTACTGGATTGTTTCATTGGTGCTTATTCAGTTGTAAAGTAAAAATCAACACACTTAGGATGGTAGCCGTAAAATAATGTTTCCGTAAGCCCAATTAAGTATCTGATGTTTCTGTACTTGTAATAATCTGTCATCGGTCTAATGGTTTAAACACTGTTTTAAGCCATATTAGTGTATTTTGTAGAAAACGGTGAGCGATCGGTAAACGTCTAGGGTGATCGGTAAACGTTATGAGCAGTCAGTGCTGTGTACAGTAGTCACTTGAATACAATTGTCTTGTTTTACATTATAGGAACGGAAGAAAATAAATTCATATCTTTACATGTCACTTGAAAGACTTTGGATTTCATCATTGTCTTGATGACAATAAACAAGTTTCATTGTGCAATTCAGGAAGAAGGAACACCTAATCAAAACACACAATTGTAATCAAAAAGTTCCATTGCACCGTGAGAATATGTTCATCTGTGCTTAACTCTTTATACAAAACTAGCTGTAACCCGCGGGCTTTACCCCGTTTAACTTCTTAATTTTCAAGATGATTTCGTTCGCATGGCTCAATCACGTCCTGGTTGAAGTTCGTTCGCTACGCTCACTCACCTTTAGGTTGGAGCCCGTTCGCTACGCTCACTCACCTTTGGGTTGGAGCTCGTTCGCTGCGCTCACTTGCCTTCAGGTTAGCTCGTTCGCTACGCTCACTTGCCTTCAGGTTAGCTCGTTCACTACGCTAACTCGCCTCCAGGTTGAAGTTCGTTCGCTATGCTCACTCACCTTTTGGTTGCAAATTAGCTGTTGTCATAAATGTAAAAGAAATAATAGTGCTGCACCCTGTTGGTAATCCTTGTAACTTTAATGCTATTGAACATCATAGAACAGAACCAACTTGTTTAATTGAAACAGCTGCTGTTAAGATTCATTAATTCCATTTCTCATAAGGTTAACATGGGAAACTCCAGAGCCACTGGGGCGGAGCCGATTGGACGGATCACAAAATTGATGGTGTATAAACCTATTCCATGAAATTCTACACGTATGTACCAAGTTTCGTGGCACTGCTAAATATATATATACAGTATATATATATATATACAAACATCCTCTTTTATACTTATAGATGATGTATCTGAAAAATCTTTTAGATGCCTTGACAAATTTCAAAGCAGCCTACAATATACCAGAAAGTAACCAGTTAGTTCCGTACACATCCAACAATCCAGTTTTTACCAACCATTGTTGTTTATCACAACACATGGGCATTAGATAGAAGGAGTGGAAATGGTCTCGGCTGAGTAAAAATTAGAAGTCGGCCCCGTTTTACCTTCAGAAAGATCTGTTTAGAATTCACTTCTACACAAACCTACACATTTTTGTTTATTCCTTTCAAAATCCTTCGTAATTGGTATAGTAGGACTTAGGTTCAAAAATAAAGATGTATTATTTTTGGTCTTTAATGTAATATAACTTAACAAAATCAGAATTTTAGTGTAGTGGCACATTTTAAAATTCACCTTTCAACAATTAAAATCAATATCAAGTAGAATAATTATGTTATCCTTTTTACACACTTTTCCTTGTAATTTATTCACATGTTTCTAATAGACTAGAAATTATTAAAATTTAAGGCCTAAATTAATAATATTATAATGAGAGATTAGTTTAGGAATAATAATTCAGCAGTCATTACAATTTTTGACAAGTGTGAGGTCTGAACAACTTTCTATAAAATTAGGAAGTTGTTGACTCTGTCAACTACTAAATCATAAACATTCCAGTTCTGTCACCTCTTTAATTTAATGATGATAATAAGTTGGGGGTTCCCTTTACTAGTCTTTTCTTTTAATTCCTTAACTTGTTGATAATTCTATACACAATTATTTCATCTATTTGCCTAGTCTTATACTTCTACCAGATTATACTTAATTGTGATTCTTAATCTTAAAATATTTACCTAAACTTTAGTTTAGTCAAATCCAATGTTGCAGCACGGCTCATGACTTTCTCTTAGCCTGAACTATTGTCTGACAACATTGAACTCGGCTCCTATTGGTTACAGAAAATATCACTGCAACGACTCTTTCATGTATTGATCCAGCTAGATGAAGCGGTTCACCCCTTTATCTACATTTTTGGACGTTGCTCTAGCTGTAATAGTTTTATCATTCAACAGAATGTCTGCAATATAAAATTTAAGGATTTCTCTACTGTTATCAAATTCAGTCAAGTTCCACAAACTCGGCAGTCCACCTGCACGCCAGTGTTATTTATAACCCAAGCAACCCTTGGTGAACCCTTTGGTGGAATTATCTAACTTATTTCCAAAGATAATTTCTCAATCTTGACACCAAGAGTCAAGAGATATATTGGTCTAAGAATACAAAATATAACAGTGCATATGACCTTGTCGAGGAAAAATATTAAAATAGCAAAAATTAATTCACCCTATTCCTCCCGCTGAGTTTGCGGGACTGTACTATAGGAGGGAGTGTACTACAATAGCATGTACTGAGGTAATTGATGGTGCAGTAGTTATAAGTGTGTTGTACTGTATGTGATGTGATGTGGTAGACGCACTGAGCCTTCGTTCCCTGAATGCCCCAACGAGCCCCCAGCTGCTGCAACTTCCGGGGGACAAAAGAGTCCGAGCTAAGTCTTCCCCCCGGTCATCCGTCACTGGCATCACGGGTAACGCCTTTCTGTCCTTTACATTTTGCCTCCTCGACTAGTCTATGATGTAATCAAGGAAATAAGTTTTTGTCTCCTACAAACGATGTTTGATGAATATTTGTGTTAAAATATTGATGATAATGAGGTTGACGAATAGAATGCAGAGTTAGAGAGTTAGTGGTTCAGTTGGTAGCACCTTGGACTTCGGACCAAAGGCAGCGATGTCGTTGGTTCGGATCCTGGTACCTACTACTATTTTTACTTTTTCATGGTTCACCCTTGGACTGTACCGGCTCACCCCTTGCTTTCAGGCCTCAGTGGCCCGTGTGCAAATGCTAGGTTAAAGAAACCGCCAATCTCTTTAAGAAAAAGTTAACTGTTTAGTTTAAGATTCCCTGGATAGATTTTGTTTGAATACAACTTCTTGTGCGTCAAATTTTGCTTAAACCGATACAGTAGTTTGGTTAGAACATTCCACCCAATGGGGCAGGACTCATGTTTAAAGCAACAGTACAGTTCTTAAACTTACAATAATGAGCCTAATTCATTAGTTTTTTCATATTGCATAAAATACGTACAATCTTTTAAATAAACAATTTCCAAACTTTAATTTGGTTTGTGGGAATGAAACTTATTTCCTTGATAGCTTTGCAAAATAAGAGCAAATGATGGAAAAGCAAAGATTTATGCATGAAGTTATTCATTGACTAACTACTCTCAGTGATTTTACAGTAAAGCTCACCTTTTTAGATTACTGATTTTATTTTTAGTTTTTCTTTGACAAAATTATAGTTTAGTTTACCACTGTTCCTACACATAAAGCAACCTTTTGAAAGTAATTCTTGTCCATTAAAAGTTACAAATGCTTAACTTTTCTTTTTTTCAAATTCACCGGATTAGTACCTAAAGATTTTTGATTATGAGAGAATCAACAATACCTTTAGAAAATCTGTGGAAATCATCTACAGTTTCCTAAGCTTTCTTAAGTCTTCTATAAAGATTTGCCTAATAACTTTAATCAGAAAGATAATAAATACTCTCTGAAATTTTAAGAACATGTAATCTGTTTTGGCCAACTTTATGCTAAACTCTTTTCTCGTTCTATCATTCAATTAAAACAAAAATGTACCTTGAGAAATTGTAAATATTTTATTGTTGTGCATTAAAGGTGGATTAATGAGAGAAAAATCTTGTGTTCGTCTGATCAATAATTTAAAACACCCTTGGGTTATTTAACAGAATAAAAAAAACATTAATAAGAAATAGTCGATTAAAAAAAGTTTTTCCTCATTGATCCACATTACTAACACCGTTTCATTCTTAAGGTTTTTTTTTGTCAGATTGTCTTTCTTTTTCAATTTTTCTCTCTTTTGTTGTGTTTTAACATCTTTTTTGTGTTGTAATCTTTAACTGTTTTTTAAGATCACTAATTTTTTTACTCTTTCAATGAGAGTCATTGCATGACTTTTATGGGTATTTTTCTCTTATAAATGTGTCAACCTAATTCAAATTTTGATGGACTTTTAGTTTTTAATAACCTGGATATATAAACTGTAGTTGCCTCAGCTATTTATTTTGGAGATTTATTGTAAGTGGTAAAATAAACTAAGGACTCAACCGTTAGGATTGAAGAAGTTTGCACCGTGGGGCATTCGAAGGTTATTGGTTTACGACTGTACTGTATAATGTTAAGAATCTATGATTATGTTATAACTTTGCAGCATGCTGAATGGCTTTTACAAGTATTTGAAGCATTTTGTTGATAATGAGCATGATTTAAGGAGTTTGAAAATCGTAGATTGATTATGTTCAACGAAGGTTATCTGTGTAGAATATTGTAGCATTTTGATCCTGTTAGTTGTCCTTTTTTATATTTTTGGTAAACTTAGAACTAAGGGTTTTATATTACATAGGGGCGTCCCCATCTTAAATAGTTTATTATGATTGATAATTGATATTCGTTTTTAATTTAAGTTGGAAATCACCAATGGTTTGTAACCATTATTTATCCTATGGTCGTTTTTTATCGTTTTGTCTTGGCCAGCTAATTTTAATACCTTCAGTACAGTCTTCAGTTCAGACTTTGATACCTTCAGTAAATTTTTTACATGCATTAACCTCTCTGGTTTAAACCATACAGAGTTGAAAGAATTCAATGCTTTACAGAAAGATGTAGGGAAGTTGTTAGTAAATGAAGGGCCAAAAGGAAAAAAGGGGCAAAGTAACTTTGAACAAACATTTTATAAGAGACAGTTGAAGGCTTGACCCCTTGTTCCCTCTGGGTAGTATTTTCATGATACAATATACAGCAGACTCTTAGCAATCCGACGTATAATGATCCGGAAACTTAGATGTTTCTATTGTCGTATAATTGGGGGATAGCTACTGCAAGGTGTTGGAATTCTTCCCCTATAACGAGAAACAAAAAATTGTAGTTGCAGGATTTTTGCTAATCAAATGTTTGCTAATCCTTTATCTCCTGTATTTTTGCCATGGTAGGTGTAGCTGCGATATACCTCATTTGATATCTTTGATCTTTCTTTTTTTAATATCTACCAATTTTTTTTTCTAATATTGTTTCCCTTGTCTCATTCTAACTTTTTATGTCAGTTTCAAGGTTTGCATGCAGTTTCACTTTTCTATTTGTTGTTATAAATTTAAACAATCTTTAAGATCAAGTATGCTTGTTAAGTTGACTAAATCTGTTATGTAAACATAACAGCCTTGGTTACAGATCAAAAACCAATTTTTCATACTAATTGAGTTACTTTATCCTTCTAAAAATTGTATGTGGATTCATATTTCTGTTTGGTGTATGTCTCATTTTCCCAGAGCTTTAGTACGTTTTTGTGGAGTTTAGACCAACCCAAGTCTTGTCCCTATCGTAGACAGTATAGTTCAATATTATTTAACCTGTTACCTCACATAAATACAGCTTGGCTTATAATAAATTTTTCTACATTATGCACTCTTTGATTTAAAGGCTAGACTGTAACGTGTGGTGTCGTAAAATTTCCAGTGTGGAAATGCTCACCATTGTCTACCGCAGGGACGTTAGTGCATTTACCTCCATTGTAGAAGATCTAACTTATTTTAATGCCATTTAAAATATCTATTCAGCCATTGTCGAGTTGTGACACGGAAAAACACCGTGGCCTATAAATATATAGGATTCATGTAAGGGAATGCATTACACATTGACTAAAAACTCCTTAAACCCGGTCAATTAGCAGAGTAGAAGATTATATGATATGGTTAGCTTAAAAAGGTTAACATAACACTGTCACAAAATCAAATAATATTCAAGCTGTACATTGCATGAATACAGTCAATAATGAGTAAATTATGTTTCTTAAAAATATACATGCTAGTTAGTGATGTAGTAATATTTTCAGCTTGGGTACATTCTACAGATTTGACTTAACACAGAAACATTGAGGGGTACAGGAAACACTAAAATATCCAGTTCCTTGTATTAGTGACGGTATAAACCAGAAATTTCAAATCTCAAAACCAAAACCAAAACATTTAAAAATCAAGTATCAAATCTTGAATCTTAAAACCTAAACACGAAACATCTTACAATGCTATAAAAAATAAAATAAATTTAACTTCTGACACTGGTCAAGATAACATGATTATAAGATGAACTCGAACAATCATATAGGGGTAAATATGTACAGCCGAAAATCGATGGCAGTTTCGTTTTCATGTTTCATATCCCTGAAACATGTCGATTGAATCTCAAAACCAAACATTTTGTAATATTTTGGTAGTGAGATTTGAAATTCTCCTGAGATTTGAAATTCTCGTGGAATTTCCGATGCATGGATACTGCATATGTTGTAATACACCACCACTTTCTCCAATAAACTTTCCCCACTTTCCTCTATTCACAAGTTTATAATAGTCAAATGAGTGGGTGGGGTGTCTAGTTGCGCTGAGTCTGCGTTCGCTAGACGTTCCGTCCAGTCCGCAGTTCCTACATGTGCCAGGAGAGCGGTGTCGTTCCAGCAGTATTCTTATACCTAGCTTATCGCCTCGGCCATCGAATGCTGGTACAGTACAGTTGTTAGCTAGTGCCGTACACTCACGTAGACAGGCCGCATCGCACAGCACGCCACTCGTCACATTCCACTCGCCAGACAAGATAGACTGACGATTCTTGCAGATTTTAATTGTCGGAATTATTTGCGGATTTTGCTATCGCAGAGTAAAGTGCACAGTTTAAATCTTTTCTGTAGTGGCAACTAGTTTTTGCTCTTGAGTTGAACCTTTTGGCGTGTAAGGAGTTAAAAGTCCTCAGTTTGTTACTTATGTATCCTGATGTCTCAAGAGGTTATTTATTGAACTCTGCTAACGCCCAAATGAAGTGAGGCCTTGTAACTTCTTGTAGACCTGATGATGGTTCAACCCAAGAACCGAAATGACACTACATCACCCAAGGATTGGTAAATGCAGGTATTGTTAACCATTTTTCGTATGTAATCCAGAGGCTAATAAACTCTTTGAATATACAGTTGAATCCATCTCACTTGGAAATGTCAGGACCAGACCTATTTTCAGACTTTAAAAATTCCAAACCCTTACAGGAAAATACAAAAATGAATGGATACACTTCAAAAACACATAACGTGCAAAAAGTTTGTAAACTATAAAGTATTTTATGAATATAAATAAAGGAATAAAGCAATTACATAGTATTGGAATTACAGGTTAGGATTCTTTTGTTTGTGTGATTAAAACTAAAACAAATCCAAACTAGCTAGGGAGTATGATACCTACAAGAATAGTCGAAATTTGAAAACTAATTTCAATTTTTTAACGTTTCATTATCCTCATAAATTATTAGTCTACATTTTTTAATCTATGACCATTAACAAAACCTTCATTAATAGTTCACAAAGCCTTTGTAAATATCAACCACGGAAAGATTGAGTAACTAACCGTCGATGAAGATTCGCTGTAAATAACCGAGCACTGTCTCAGCTTTTGTGTTGTTTAGTGTTCTGCATACGAGTAAATTGTAGTAATTCATAGGAGTCCAAGATAAGGAGGAATATTACAAGTTTACTGAAAATTAGATTTGCATAAATAATTATATTTACCCAATATTTTTATCAACATACTAAACATCTTAAGAAAAATGTTGTTTACGGCTTTTAAAAACATTTTCTATTAATTGAACTGTAATATTCCTCCTTTTCATTGCAATATCTAGTTAGCTGAATCATGTCTTGTCCAGTTTATATATTAGTTTCATCGTACTGACAATGTATTGTTGGTTGTACCTATTAGGAGATTAATTTGGTTGTATTATTTCAAATAGAAAGTAGGCATGAAAGTATTTTAGTTTAGGCATTCACTTTAGCCTTTTAGATTGCTTTTTATTGATATACAGTTAACTAAAAAAATTTAAATAGACTAATCTTACATTTGATATGCTATTTCATTTGGAAATAGCCAAAACAGTACTAGAATATTAAATATCTACACACAATCATGACACTAAAACTTATATTTTCTTAAACTCATGCAACACATTTCACATTTGTTATTAGTTTAATGATTGATTTTACCATTTCAGTCAAAAGTATTAAAGTATAAAGTGTCTGACTATTCAGTCCTATTCAACATTATACAGAGTCACTATTATTATTCATTTTCATATCATGATAACAAAGAAACAATTCACCTCATGTTTGAGAAAGAAGACAATTGACCCACTTAAAAATGTAAACAAACAAAATGTAAAGTTGTGATTTTTAATTTAAAAGATTGTTTAATTAATTAGAAGTAAAGACTATTGTCAATATACTTACGACATCTACTCCAATATTGCTCACAATTACAAATAATGGTAAAAATTAAAAATTAAAGTCAGCAACTATGAATCAAAAAACAATTTAGGGTTTTAGGACATTTGTTGCACACCAGTAAACGATTTCATAAATAAAATCTTTGACAAAATACTATTAGTTTAGCCTTCTTCGCATAAAATTTATTGGGATTCCTCGGACCTTCTCTCTGTTTGATAATATCTCCGGTTTTGAGTTGAGGGGTTTGTGGATTTCACTGACTTGCCCCTACTCACCAATGTTGTGTGCAGGTTTAGCTTCTGAGAGAAAAATCAGCTTTGTACTTCACGAACCGGACAATGAGTCGGAAGGAAGCAGCAACACGACGGTTACACTTCAGGTAAACATAACTAGAGGTTACGTTCAATGTGAACACAACTTAAGGCTATGTACAATATAAACACAACTGAAGACAATGTACAATGTTATGTTAATAAAAGACAAATCAAAGTTACGGTTCAGACTAAGGCTGGATAGATTCGGCATTAACACAGATAAAATCCATTGGCGATTGCCGACTGGGGACTGGGGAGTAGGTCTAGTGGTAGAGCACAACACTTCAGTCACTGAGGTGCCGGGTTAAAATCCTTACAAATCATCAATGGATTTTTTTTTATCTCAGTGATATTGCCACAACTCCTAGGCCTAGCCTGAAGTAATGTAAAAAAACCTGCGGAGCCTAGCGTCCTGAGACAAACAAATAATTTGTTTGGCGGGATTTGAACTCAAGACCTTAGGGATCGAGACTCCGTGGTCTTTCACTAGACCAGCTCACTCCAGCATTTCTTATCCTCAAGGCTAAAAGAGATTATATTGAATCGTCCTAAGTTATTCTGTACAAACAGGTATAATATAATGTTAGTTACCTGTTTTACTATTGGAACAATCCATTGTAATAGGTAGTATTAATCAACTATTTTTTTTTTTGTGCTGCAAAATGAGAAACACATATTTAGGTTAGAATGTCTATTATTTTAAAAATAGTTGATTTAACAGATTGTTCTGACAGAATAATCGGTGTTTTTACACGACCAATATGACAATTCCACTTACTGAGTCAAGCAAATCATGTTTTATTCCGCATGAGTTTTCTGGTCCATTCCCAGGCGATGTTTTTGGCGTGTCATATTTAGAAGTTACAGTAGATTGTAGACATTTTGTTTTTTTTAGGGAGAGGAGAAAGAACAGATGGATGATAAAAAAGGTCGTAGGACAGGGCCTCAAGGTCGACCTTTCCTGTTGCGGCGAGGCACTGGCTCTAACACAGCTACGGCTCCCCCCACCACTTCTACTTCTGGCTCCTTCAAACGTCGGTCGCTCAAACTGCGACGGGGAACCAAGGAAGGCGCCAAGGATATACTAGATTGTGACTGTAAGTCATACACGAGTTACTGCTGTTTTGTTTTCCTGTTCGCTTTTTTAAGCTTTGTAGTAGATCTCTTTGTTTCATTCTGTTTTGTTCTTATCCTTCTTTTAGGTACCTTGATCTTACGTGTTCTTCACTTCCTCCTTTGCTCTTACAGTTCTTTTAAAGTTTCCTAATCCTATTTCACTTTGATCTTGACTGAGTATACTTAAAATACTCCCGCCGCAGCAAAACCTGCAGACTAAGCAAATTTCCATTTTCCTGGCTGGATTTATATTTAATTATTCCCTTAAAATTGTCGGATTTATTTCTTATTTAAATAACAGTAATTTTAATGAGTACTTAGGTTTCCTGCTACAGGGAAGGTATTGAGGGGTGTTTTTGATGTATGGTATAAATAAAATTTCCAAAATTGATTTAAAATATATCCATATATAAACATGCAAACTACCAAAGTTTATTTATTTTCCATAACACGTGAATTTAAAATGTTAGTATTTTTTAAATTATCTTTGTAAATGATAGGCATACAACAACGCTTCATATACCTACAAATATATTTCTTTTTTAAGGTCTACAAAATGGTTCGGAAAGAAATTGTGAATTTTTATGTTTTTAGGGTCAAAAATAGGAAAAACCCAATTTTTACCCCACAAAACCCTTTCCCATATTCCGATCATGCTGGTTTGCGAACTTGTTCAAATAAACGTAAGTTTATACCAAATTTCATGAAATCGGATAATTTTTGCTTGAGTTATCGCGCTAACGGACTCACATATATAGAATTTGAACGGAGGGTGTTTTTGGCCTCTGGGAACCTCAAAACAAAAAAGAAAATCGGTCCCGGGTCTAGGTCTGTAAGATTGTCTGTAACTCAAGGTTTCCTTTGGGCTCATGTTGTAGCGGAGGCAGCTGGTTCAAATCTGAGACCAACGTTGTGTTTCTTATTCATACATTCTAGAGCTACCCCTATGAGATGATTATTCTCGTCAAAGTTTTCAAAATGCAATAGCGGCAGAGGACGTAGATTACTGAAATTTAATCACAAAATTTCATGTATACTTGGCAGGACTCTGGATTGTCAATTTTCTCACATTTGAATAATAGGAAAAGAATAATAACTGTCCTATAGGGGATGGAACCAACTACAATAGTAGAGATAGAGAATGAAGTAAATAACTTGTCTGGTCTCCGATTCAAACAGTAGCTTGCTCAGCTGCAAAGGGAGCTAGATAGAGACAACGATAGAGATTCAAAGACAACCCTCTTATTTAAAGTTTTTATTTTGTATTTTGGCATGTTTAAAAGCTATATTCTCATTTACCCATACAGTACACTTTTAGTCACAATTTTCTTTCCATTAAACGTTTTTAGATTGTTGTCTGCTTTATTTATGATTACTGTGTGTCCGTTTATATCTCTATGCATAGTTACTGTAGAATTGCTGAATATTCATGATGTCATTAGTGTTATATTAATTTGCAAAACCATTGAAATATTTTACGTTTACATTGCTATGTACAAGAACAGAAGTAGCCATCAATATCATTTTGTCATCTTAGCCACATCATTGCCAGTAGAATATCATAGTGAGCTTAAGCCTATAGTTGAGATGCCACATTTAAACAAATCAATGCACATTTGAAATACATCGCACAGTGAAAACGCTTAAGATGCACCAGCTTAATAGTTTGATGGCAGTTGAAGTGTGTAAAATTGTGTGCATAAAATCTACCACTAAAAATACTTACATCTGTTCTTTTAACACGGTCAAACAAAACCTCTTAAATCAAACCCCGAGTTTGAAAAACCACACATGACTAATTTAAATATGGAAATGCTTCTGTAACGAGTTTTAATCCTGACCAAAATGTTTTATAGTTAAAAGAGCAGATTCGATTCAGTCAAAACGTAAAGTGAGTTCGTTGTCAGATCGTAGCGACACTTCGGAGCCGGGAGTGTGCGGAGAAGTGAGTGGAGAAGAGTCTCCGGGGATACTGAGTGACGACCAGCCTCCGGAGAGTCCCAGCGATAGTAATGAGGCAGACGACACAAGTTCTCATCTACCTTGGCTCAAGGTACATAAACTTTTCATTACATAAACATGATCCTACTCAGGCTGCGAAATAATATTGTTGTAAGAAGGCTGAATACCTGAAAGCAAAGTGACAATTATATTTTTTTGAAAATGGAATACAGTTCAGCCAGCTTACCGTCAAAAGAGTCTAGGGTTTGGACTCAATAGACAATAAAGTCATAAAACACCAATGTTTTGCCCTAATATAGGACTACTTTAGAGGTAGGTTTAAGAGAAATATGAGCACAAGTTTAAACCGAGAAATTTAACCCTTAGAGGTTTTCAAATTGTCCTTGCTACAAAAAAAATCATATTGCTGATTTGTCATGTGAGAAAACTGAAATATTGAGTCCCAACTTGAGTTCATGTGTACTTGCAAATTTTAATTTTGTTTAGCCGGTAGTAAGGTTCTACCGTACTAACAACGGGTTTGTTGCAGGTGATGATTCAGATGGCAAACTCGTTTAATTATTATTGTTCTCACCAATCTTTCTGCCATCCGTTTTGCTACAAGCGTCACATGAGAGCAGCTACTCGGTTGATGAAAGCTGTGAGACAGGTTGGTAATATTCTTTACTCTTCTTCACTGGTGATGACAAGGTGAATGGAAGAATTCCATGTTTGTATAGTCAAATGTCTTTTGCAATAACCATAATTAACCCTTCAGGAAAGGATTTTTCCCCTTAGGACTCTGCTATAGTGTTTTTCCTGATTACACCAAACCATCTCTCATTTTGCCCTTTGCTGTCTGGCATAAGTGTTGGTGCTAGTCATGATCGAATTCATAATTTCATCATCAAAATAGAATTAAAAAATACCTAGGAGGGTATGAACTGGAATTTCAGGTCAATATTCACAACTAAATGGTTCTCTAAAGGGTTCACAACCCTCCTTAGTATAGAATTTTCATAGTTTTCATGTTTGGAAACAATACATTTGTCCGTCGCACTCACTACAATTGGGAACAGCTGTAAAAATGGAGCAACTAATGGACAAAGTGTTTTAAACAGTACTAGTGTAAGATATTAATTCGTAATCAGATGCCTTAACCGCTGGGTTGGGTCATGACAAGCAAGTCACGTCAAACTGTAGAAGTGTTTTATACAGGTGACAAGAAAGGCTCATCAAACCGCCTTGAAGTCAGATAGTCTCTTTTGGTCACAAAAATTTTCACTGATTTTAATTTTTGGCATTCTAGTCGTGGATTTTGATTAGGGCATTGAAAATGGTTAGTTAACTTTGTATCTACCAAAATTAGAGGAAACAATAAGAAAAATCAGTTATGTAAATTGTGCTTTTTCATAACAAAAAGATTGTACATTGCATTTATTCACTCTCGTAATTTACTTAGGGGAGGTTTGGTAAAAACAATAAGATTCACATGATTTGCATTAACAGGATTTTCAAAAAGCTCCTCCCACAATAATAGAACTTTTTTACATGTTTGCCAAGATTGTCGAAATTGTACATCATTTTAATACTATTCATAAGGAGATTCTTCTATAATATTTTACAAATGTGTTTAAACTCTAGGTGTACGGTGAAGAGTTCGGTGTAGTCAGTGGTCAGGAGAAGAAGTTGTTTGATGACGGCAAGAAAGATGGCAAACGAGGTCGTAAAGTGAGCGAGCAGACAAGCACTAACGCATCGCCTGTACGACGTAAGGACAGCATCTCCAAAAAGGATCGGTTGGTTCTTAATCAATTAAATTATTTATTGATAAAACGAGGGGTCAAGAGCATACCGGTACAAAAGTGGTGTCTTGCCAAAGAGTTTGACCGAAGAGCTTAGTTTTTATTTAAATTTAAATTCTTACAATATTTTTATGCGTTACTGTATTTATTTTTACTTACTTATCTATACTATACATACATTTAATAATGTTTTTATCACTTTACAATACAGAGACACACACTTGTGTATTTTAAGCTGAGTATAAATGAAAGGTGAGTGTAGAATAGAGTGACATGCCCTGTATAACTTTGGTACTGACTAAGATCAGCTGTTTAATTAGCCAAGACTATTTATTAAAAGACCAATAATTAAAGACAGCTGGGCCCAGTTTCGTATTACTAAAAAGCTACTGACTTTTCTCAGGATTGATACGGCAACCTTAAAGTTGTTAGGGGAGCAATACAACCACCCAACTATCTAGCCTCATTATCTTTGATATTATAACTGATTCATGTCTAGTTACTACATCTCTAGACTAGACTACACGAGTCTGTTCCCGCTCGTGTACCGGAAATGGTGTATATTCGTGATAGGCTTATCAAACTAAAAGTATTTATTTTTATGTCGTACGTGTCGTATGTAAATGTTATTTGTTGTGTAATGTGTTGTGAGAACGAAGCTATTCAAGCGGATCCACATATTCCTGTAATGAAGTGTTTGACAATGGCAGCTCGCCGAAACTTGTAACACGTTGACGAAGGTTACTTTTGGAACTGATAAAGGTATTGTAAAACCAAATATTTTATATATTACAGTTCCGGGGCTACAACAACGAATTTTAATATTTTTTTAGTTTTCTTCTATCAAAATAACTAATTCTAATCAACAAAGTTCAATTTTCAGAATCGACAGAAATGTAGATGGCCCAAAAGATTCTAATAAAGACATGAATGAGGGAGAAAATGAAAAGATCCAAGAACAGACTAACTCAAAGAAAAAACAAGAAAATGAAGAAAAGAAGGACTACCCTCACATTTTGAAATACATTAAAACACAGGTAAGAAATATTTTAGAGGGGTTTTAATTTTATTTTCTACACCCAAAATTAGTTGTCAACATAACATAACTCTTGTAGCATTTTGGGTATTTGAAATTTTTGGGTTTACATTAATAAAAAAATAAAAATAAATTATAACTCCAATAGCATTTTAGTAAAATAAGATCAAAAGTCAAAGTAACATTTAATGTAGGTAAATTAAAATTCATTACAAATATAAAATAGTGAAATGATTCAACACTGCATAAAGCCTGTATTTATTTGTTAAAGGTTTGATTTTTCTTATTTGTTTTTACAATTTGCAGAATTAGGTTGATAATTTTTATTTCACGAAGAATAAATTGGTTGGAACCATCTCTTGAATAAGTCAATTTTTGACCATGAACAATGTATTTTATGTTTTTAGATGGATTATTGTAAAAAAATTTCTGTTATCAGATCCTGTCCTTTGTTTAGAAAGTACCTAAAATATAACAAGATTAGCAAACAAACTCAGACAAAGCTTGTGCACTAATTGTTTAGGTCCTTTCAACCCTGAAGATGGTTGTTAGCTTATAGATCCAGGATCGTCGTGAAAACTTGTTATTTTACTTGTGATGGAAAATGTTCCACAATAGTCGCCCTAATATAGAACTTAAGGTTTAGGATGTGTCATGGAGCACAAAACCCTAGGTTTCTAAGATTTTTGTGAGGATATAGCAAGTTTACCTAAATGGTAAAGATGCCATAGTCCTTAAGCAAACAATAAAAAAGAAATACAAAACTTTGCACTATAAAACAATATATTTCACTATAACTGAGACTATTTTCATCTAAGAAAGGTATGAATTGGAGAATAGAATACTCAAAAAGAATACAAGAAGCTCTCTCTTCTTCTCTTCAACTCATACCTTCCTTAGTTGGCAATGCTGTCAGTGACAGTGAAATATTCAAAATTGTTGTGCTAAATAGTGTAAAGTTTTGTGTCTTTTGCCAGTTTGGACTCTTGCCCATTTAGCTAAGCCTGCCATCCTCACAAAAATCCTAAATTTTAATGTTTAATTTAATCACATCTAATGCACAGGTGAGGGACGTGTTCCACTCAATGCTAGGAGTGTTGGTGAAAGGCGCTGTTGTCATGACAGAGGATCAGTTTGTTGACATGTTGTCAGTATCTTGGGAGCTGCTGCTGCAAACCAACCAAGAGGTCAGTCGAATAGATTTCTAGAGTTGATCACGTTAAGTCTGTTTAACCCTTCAACACCCTTATTAAAGAAGTAGGGAGACCTGCAGGAACCAGAACACCAGGAAGGCCTAAACTAAGATGTAAAAAACAAAGGGCAGAAGACCTTAGGAGTAACTTGGGAGAAAGCCAAATATTGAGAAGAATGAAGGTGCATTGTTGGGGAGGCAAAAAAAAACCCTCCTTAGTAAGGTCACAGCAGTAAGGTAAGGTAACTCTTCAAGGCAGGATATTTTAACAACCACCGGATTCTGCTACGGTAGTTTTTACCCAAATAGTTTTTTGAATCGTCTTAGAATTTTTTTAATGGAACGCTGGACACTTTGGGAGATTCAAATGACTGTGTTTTGCAGGTTGCAGCAAGCGCTGCGGCCCTGTTTATCCTAGCAGCTGTGCGATCTCCTGGTCATGCCTCTCAACTCATGCAACACGCTCTACACAACCAAGACCCAGCTGTGCGGATAAACGCTATCCTCAGGTATCAAGAAAATGCTTGACATTACAACCTTGTGTTAGTGTATAGTTATGTACAGAACATATTACATGGCACCATTAGTTTTAGGGATGGACGGGATTGTATTTTTAGGTTGGGACGGGAAGGGTTATTTCCTTTCTGACTTTCAGGGACAGGATGTCCTGCGGTCACGGCACCATTGTCAACATATCCTGCGTTCGTGATGCCATCTTTGTCATGTCTCAAGGTCACGGCAGCATCTTTCACTGGAAAATTTACGACTAAATTACTTAAACGTAGTATGTATACATTACTTTGCAAATTGTAATCGTGGTGCAGAGCCTCGGTGTATGTCGTCTATGTTTGAATCTGGCCCTGCTCCTAGTTTCCATAAAAATATAAATTTCATTTCCACCTTTGTGCCCTCTTTGTGTTCATCCCAATGATTCTGTTCGCAGGTTCCAAGTTCTGTGGAAGCTGAGGTACCAAGTGTGGCCCAGGATGGAGGATGGAGCTCATGTTACGTTCAAGGTCCCCCCGCCAGGGATAGAGTTCACCCTCCCTTCCCCCAAGATCGGTATCGAGTCTCTCCCCGTGGTCGACCCTCCGTGGATGCCTCAGGTCAAAACTAAAGTTGAAGAAGTCACTTTGAACCAAGAGAGCCATGTAAGACCTACTCACAGTGTTAGCAAGTTTGTAAGTTTCGTCGATATATTTCAGATTTGGTCTGCTTCTCCGTTTCTACCCTCTTCTAAGCTTTCGCCCCTAGCGTTGCGTTGCTGCCCGTACCATTCGTGTCTGTTTGTCCGAAGGCTAGGATGCACTGACAGCTTTACACCACACGGAACATTGTCCAACTCCTGTAGACGTTTGAAGCTGAACATTCGCTTAATAGTCATCGTGGTGAAGTCTTTAGCTATATTTTACTTTTATGTTTTAATCTGTTGATACTGTTTTACTTGGTTGATAATTTCAAATGTTATTTTATGTTTGACCAATACGAAACTAAACCGTTTTTTTAAGTCTTCAAAAACATTCAGTTTTGGAAAAAATATTTGAAGACTGTTTTCTTTATATTTTTAAAATAGAGATTGCCAATCATGAGTAAATTTGTAATTAGCTGTCCAACAGTTAAATTCCATAAGTTGGCTTTGTTGACTAGATTCTATGAGTTGACTCAAGTTGACAAGTGTGAAAAAAACTATAATTTTTTATTCTAACACATTTTTATTTTTAAACAGTTGTTATTTATTTGGGGATGAATTGTGTCAGGTTTACAGGTTTAAATTTAACAGTTTCCCTCTAGATTGGTATTAACTGACTCAGAATCTAAAGGATTCACACATTATTAGTTGACCAATCTGATGTTAGTTTAACTATTTTTTTGGTTTTTTTTCTGAAGAGTTACAATGCGTTTTTATGTTATTTCCCAAAACACACTATAAGAAAACTTTGAACTTTAGCTAAGTGGTAATTTTCAAATTGCATAAACAACTTGTGTGTGGATGATTCTAAAACTTATTATGGGCGTAGAAGTATTTTTGGCAAGGCTACTTTTTGTACTTTAAATTTATTTCTATGGTGAAACTTATTTTCTTTTTTTAGTGTTTTTCTTGTGCTTCAGTCTTCTCAAATCTCCAAATTGATATTTTCCTGTATAAACTTTACTAAGATTATTATTAATCAGGCTTTCTATGACATTTTTGTAGAGTATTCCACCTACTGTAATGGTTTAAATTATTAAAAAATCAAACACTTATACTGGTGTTGTCTAACAGAACATGTAATAAAAAATGTTCGTCTAAACTGTAACTCTCACACATTAAAATGTATTCAAATTTTTATGCATCTGTTGCACACTTCACAGATTGTTAATAATATTTGGTTATGCTAATGCAAAACTTAGTTATTCTAATGTAACTGGGTCAGAAAAAAATTAACTTACAATTGTGCTGAACATGTTAATATTTTGGGTTTTCGTTATTTTACGTTTTTGACACTCGCTATAATATTAGTATTTCAAACAGGCATCTTCAAGGAAAAAGTACAGTCAGTATTCTATTGAATTCGAGAGACTTGGAAGTGAAAAATATCGTAGTATTTTTTGCTACAATTGCATGGTGTGATTGTCCAATTCATTGCGCTCCACCCGTTTGCAATGTGAAAACTGTTATGTTGACACCTCAGTTTTTTAACTCAATTCTTTTCCCTCGTTCTAAGAAAGCTAACCTGTCTTTTGAAATATTTCAAGCCTCCTAGCATGGAAGTTAGTCTTGACCAGGAAAAGGTTTTGAAAAATATGACAGATTTACAATTATTTATTATAAAATTTTTAACAATTAATTTTAAACAAACTGATTGTAATTTTTTGATAGTATTTTTTTTTGTATTTTAGATAGCAGTGTTTAAAAGATACTTATGATATAAATATATTTTTTTATCCAACAACAATCGTTTAGAGGTCATTGAAATGAGACCTTCGTAACAATCAATTAGTATAATAGTAATTCATTTTCTTTTTTAAAGTAATTGTTTAGAACAGAGGTCTCCAGCCTACGGCCTACGGGCCGGAGCCAGTACAGAGGCTAAAAAAAAATCTTTTTGATAGCAAACACTGATGATCTTCTCCCGTGATCACGTAAACACCTGTGTCCTGGTGGTCTCGGCAATACCGTAATCGTTTCGGCAACAATTGCCGCTGGTGATCACGATTTCCTTACGATGTAAAAAGAGAACCAATTGAAGCCCATCAATGAATGAAGGCTTGGCCATAGAAATTGACGGAACTGCTCTGACTAAACCAGATTCAAGTGCAATTCACCGTCTTTTTCCCGTTCAACAAAATTTACGTACAATTCTTGGTCTTCAGATTGTCTGGCTACCGTGTTTAAATATAAGTGCAGTATATGCTCACTCATTTTTTTCTCAACTAGAGGAAAATTAGCAGTAGGCCTAATCTTGTAGTGGCAAAGTCCAAATAAAGATCTGCTTGGTTAGATGGACATTTGAAATTTGAAATCAATCCCTTTTAAGTAGCAAATGCAATAAGTCAACACAAAAATATTGTTCTTTTTACGCTTTACGTGAACTCCTGTATTGTGAAGTTTTCTTATCGCCAATATAATTTGAAGTTAAATTATGTAAATGTTTTAGTGGATAGAAAATATTTACTTCATCCTAGGTTTTCATCAGGTCCATCTGGAATTTTAGATATCCAACAAGCTTCATATCAGGAAATGTAGTGAATACAAAATGAGCAAGAAAATGTCAAAATCTCCCAGAGTCAGAAACCCTAAATAGTGTCTCTGCATAGCCGGGTAGTTTTGATGCCGAGTATTATAAATATTATAATTATGTGGACTCCCAATATTTCGGAACTGTATTTTTATTCATTGCAGTTTTTAGATTAGTTACAGTTTTATAAATACAGGGTGCGGCAAAAAAAACCCATCTGTCTTCTGCAGCGCACTGTTAGGTTCCTTATGGATGATTAAAAAAAACTAAACAGATAAATACAAAATAATCTGCAATGATAAGAATTAAGATCGAACCTCAAAATTTGTGTAACCGAGCGGTGAGACATGTTCAAAGCAGATGCTGGTTTTCGGGCGGGCCTATGAGGATTGTTTTCCACAGCAGCATGAACTCTATCGAATGTTAAATGTCTGGCGTCCAATCTGCTTTGGACAGCTTGTCAGCTTGTTTTTAAATGCAGAAGTCGTTGTTATAAAGTTGGTAACCAATGATTGTGCTACATGAAGGAATCCACGTCGCCCTAATTAAAAGAACGCAAGGAACTGATGCTGAGTCGCTTACTTGGAATCAATATTTTTTTAATTCAACACGATAACAAACGCACGTTGCACAGAGGACCTCTGTTCTATGACCACAGATAATGGCATCGTGTAGGCTTTCCAACGAACCCCACCAGTATCAGACGACCTATCACTGAACAGTGAGCTGCATAAAATAGATAGTTTTTTTTGCCGCACCCTGTATATAAAATGTAGACTACAATTTGGCCCTCAAGGAAAAAAGGGACGCGTTGCAGAAAGTCAACAGTCCCGGAAGGTCAAATAATTTATACCTGTGCCGCTAGGTCAAAAACTACAATTTTTGCAGTGTCTGTAGATCAAAAATCCCAGAAAGTCAAATAGTACAGTCCGGGCTAAAAGTTTAGTCTATTTTAAAGCAATTGACTTATTGGGAATTTGACTTAATGCAACAGCAGTTTTAATATAACGAAATAAGATAAAATATAAGTTCAGTTTCGCTGAGTCAACAGTGCCGGAAGGTCAAAAGTATAATCTGTTAAAAACAACGATAGTCCTCTCGACGCATGTCTTCAATAATTTCGTGTTTTGGTGTTCTTAAAGTTGTGCTAAAATTTTGAAATTTGGCACAGAGCTTCTTGGTTAGTCCTACTCGATGACTATTTTGTTGGAACTTTAAACTATTTACCGATCTAATTAATAAAAAATGATTTGTATGGTGAAATAGTTTTAAATCGTGATTTCTAACATGAAAAAGTTAGCATGCGAGATTTTTTTTTGTTTTTGGGTTAGAGAGGTTTTGTCTGTGGCAAAGTTGAAGCCAAAAGTGTAATGCGTAAAATATATTTTTTTGGAATTTTTTACAATCAGTGGTTCAGTAGATAACTTGGGTTGAAGAGGACGGCAAATGTAACATTTCGCAACGCATGGAAAGAACTACATCGTACGATGCGACTGCTGAGTGGACTTTTAATTTATCTAATTTAATTTATCTAAGGACAAGAAAAAGGTGAATATACAGATCACCAGTACATTCATATTATTTATAAAAAATCTTTCTTTATTACCAGCTAACATTTTTCACTTATAAGAATACATCATAAACAGGGTGTTAAAATAAGCGGGGAGATACTTTACCTAGTAATTCCTTGGGTCAAAATAAACAGAAAATCAAGGATAACATTTTTTCCAAAATAATTTCGTTAACCAGATATCCACCATTTTGTATTTTTTACATACAAATATTTATCTTTGCACTTTTCCAACCGATGTTTATCAAACTTGGTATGTATGTTAAGGTAGGAGAGACCCATGTTATAAACAAAGATTCATCTCGATTCACCCTAAAATTTCAAAATTTAACACTTAACTACAATATAATATACTCTACTACACCACAATATTTACGTATCACCATAAATCTTTAACAAAATAAAACGTTAACATTTTTAAAAACCAAAGTAAATCAATATAATATTTCTTTTTTGAAAAATATATTTAAAAAACAGGCGATGGTAAAATAACGACAGGCGAGTTTCGATCTGGGTGTTTCAGGTTTGAATCTAGGAGGATTTAACATTAATTAACATTAATGTTTAATCCTCCTAGGTTTGAACTGATTGAGAGGAATACATGAAACCGAAGGGGGGAGGTAGCAACAAGTGCACTAGTATTTACTAGTGTCCAATTACAATTTGATGGATTTAACCAAAACCTTTTCTATTTCACTTATTTTCAGCTGTTAATACAGATTGTTTAATACTGACATTGCATTATTATATTTTAATTTGAGCCTAATTACGACGGTCTACGTACACGTTATTAGTGATATAGTAACATTGTTTATTATCATATTGTTGTATTACACGAAAGACATTAATTTACGACGATCCT